CGACAGTGCTCTTAATACGTGAGCCGATCCAACCCACCGTCGCTGCCACTTTATTTCAATCATAAAACATTGTTAATTCAGATAAAATTGAAACAATCTTAACAAGGACTAAATATAAGCACAATACCACGACTGAAGGTGGCGACAAAACGACAGAACTCTGTAAAACCAAAACCTCGTGACTATGAATAACAGGGAAATAGGAAACGACTAAACTGAAAAAAAATTATAAGGTTTAACTACTGTTCTGTTAATCTGATTTATTTCTACAAAAAAGTTACTATAACTACTGATTTTGGTAGGTATTAACAACAATTTCGCTTATAATAGGCTTTTCGGGTAAATTCTTCGATTAAAATCACAAGAATTAAACATTCACCACTTGGAAAGTTTTTCCAATAAACTTTATATAAAACAACTTTATTTATCAATCGGGTTATTGAATGTATCACGTCAAATTAAAAGAATACGTCAAATTTATTAGTAAATGTGAAATTGATGTCTATTTGACTGCTGTGGCCGATTCCCATTCAGATTTTCCACACTAGCTGTGTTCGAATCCCGGTATAGACCAATAATTTTAATTTGTAATAATATGTCAAAGGGTAAAGCGATTTTGATCCCTCATCCTCGACAGCCCAACAGTAGTTGTACGTTAAGCCTCCTGAATAACAGAAATTCATTTGCTTTAAATTAACACCTAATCCTACGATCTGTCAGATGCTTTGTTTTCCTTTTCATCTTCTCTTCATTAAATAATACACATATCAATTGCTGAAAATGGCTTTAAAAAAACGAAATCTGGGAAGTACCAAAAAATGGAAAATGAGGTTGAATTAGTAAGGAGCGGAATCATTTAATTATCGACTACCTTTATTCCGGTCATAAACCTTTATTTTAGATGATATATGCAAAGATTGTATCACGCTAATGACTATGTTTTCTACATTGCAACTTGACTTCATATTTAAGTAAATGTTACAATGCATGTGAACAGCTAATAATCAAGTCAACTAGTTTTATGCCATTTGTGAAGAAAGTATTCATTTCCAATCGGTCAAAACTATGATGTAGCTTGGTCGTTCTGGCCATCCTGGTCCGACTGTCCTCGCTGGTTCGGTCTATCTCGTTTCAGATTTTCCCGGATTACTGGCCGTCTATTTTCATCTTATATTCTATAATGACAAAATAGTACAGAAACCAAAGACATGTAGATGGTGAAGCAAAGGACCAACGCGAGGGTGGGCGGACCGGGATGGTCGGAAACGACCTAATGGACCTTGAGCACGTCCGTAGGTGACAAGGTGACAGAGATCGCAATTTAAAATAGGTTACCGATTCACTTTCGCCAATCGAGGTGGTGAAATTTGTTCAATTGTTTTTTCTTTTTGAGAGGGGGCGATTTGACCTACGAAACAAATAGACGCTAGTACGTTTATTTTCTATTTTGTTTATCCCAATACTACATTATACTTATAAAGGATAAAACAACCTAGAAATACTCCGAAATGTATAAAATGCCAGACACCAGAAGGCATTTTTTTTTAACAGGACGGCGGTTAGCACTGACCCAGATACCGATCGCTCCTATGTACTCGAAGGTCCGATTTTGTTCCGGATTGTTTTGACGGGGAGAAAACCTTGGCGTCCCGCGCCGGCAGGATGCAAGGACCCGGTGCAGATTATCCTTAAGGATAATTACTCGTCTCCTGAATGGAAGACAGCTGGGGCGAACACATGTAGCCGAGGGGCTCCCCTTTTCGGCCACCGGCTTGTGTCATCCTACATTCTGTTCCTTCCTTCCTCGGACTGACGGTGCGCATCTGTGCCATTGACTTTCAACAAATTAGCGAAACGGTACAGACCGACTTTCTAAAAACGCAAGAGGACACAATTAGAAAGGCGATTATTGGTCTTATTGGACGATTGTTAAGCAATTTATAATATTAATAATTACTAGTGATAATCTTTAATGTACTAAGTTCATATTCTTTAATTATATGTACAATATTTTATAAAATCAATATAATACATGGGAAATATAAAAAATTGTGAAATGGCACGGGTAATTGCACACGTCATTAATTTTTCTATTTATTTTTTTATTATTATCGTACCAACTTATTGGGAATGATCTGATAATCGACAATCAACTTTTGATAGTCACTCTTCTTTTTACTTGTTTCATTATCAACTTATTGTTCTTCTGATGATCTAAATTTTCTTGTTGACCATGTAATAACCTACACGGAAAACTGTTTATCCTAGCAGTTTTCATAAATAGTTTTCATGTTCCTGGCATGTTCAATTTTACTGGTTCCATTTTATTTTTAATTAAACATCGTAGTAATAGGGGTTTTGAACTGGTTTTTACTTTTGATTTAGGTTTGTTTAGTTTAGTGTTGTTCCTCGGCCGTTTTTTTTTTCTTACTTTCGTTTTTATTTACATAATCTTGTGCTAGTTTCTATCTAATTTTATGATATTGATTAATTTTTAATTATTCAGAAATCGTGAGATGCGGTCTGGTGTGATGTAGGTTTCAGAAAAACATTTTCTTTATCGTGCCAACGTTTCGATCTTTATTGAGATCATCTTCAGGGCTCAAAGTTTGTCTTCTGTTTAATTGTGCCATTCTTGCGTGTCGTGTGTGGCACTCTCAACACGACCCGCAAGAATGACTCAATTACACAGAAGACAAACACTTTGAGCCCTGAAGATGATCTCAATAAAGATCGAAACGTTGGCACGATAAAGAAAATGTTTTTCTGAAACCTACATCACACCAGACCGCATCTCACGATTTCTGAATAATTAAAAATTAATCAATATCATAAAATTAGATAGAAACTAGCACAAGATTATGTAAATAAAAACGAAAGTAAGAAGAAAAAAAACGGCCGAGGAACGTAGGTCATCCTTGGATAACCAAGGATCCTAATCCGCTGTTAAGCCGGAACTAGGCGTTCAATTAAAAGTTAGAACAATTATCTTCAATAACAATGAATCGTTAAAGAATCATATAATTGATTACTATTTTCATATAATTTAATTAGGAAAACCTTACAATCGAGACCTTCAGCCAGGAGGCTTTTTATACCTTTCTAGATGTACTGAAAGTGACTTTAGGAGCCTAGTTAAGATAGGGGCTAATCCGGTCCCAAGTGGACCTCCTGCCATATGGATGGGATTGTACGGCAGGAGGGCCTACCTTGCAGATGAAAGCCATTCATTACAGATGAATATTTCCTTCCATCTGCGTCTGCTGTTGGTGTAAAATGAACTTTTTGAACCTTTCACCTGGTTTTAGAAGTTTGTTTATATGTTATATTTCTTTGTGCGTTTTCCGTATTGCATTCGAGGAATGGTTTTCAGAAAAAATATTTTGTCGTATTTATTTTGATATATTTGAGCTCGAGACGTTTCTCAAGTCTGCTATGTCGCGAATGGAAAAAATACGGTCTTGTCAGACAAAGTGTTAATAAGCCTGCCAAGTGCACGGACTGACATTTCCACTCGCTTATATGTTCACCTACTTTATTACTTTTTGCTCCATTTAATATATTTTATATTGCAAAAGCCCTCCGGGCATAAGATCCCAAGGGTGAGGCAAATGATTCGAAGAGAAATTTCATGAATGAAAGAGACTTATAATACCTCAGGCGGAAAATTGCCTCATTCTCTCGATTCAATTAGTTTCCTTGGTCTTTACTAATCGAGTTTGCTTTGCGATTTTTTTTAACCCTTTTGTAATGGCAGTGGCTTAGAAAAACGGTTGCGGTTTGCGTTGAATGAGCACTGTTCTTTTTTTGGCATTAAGTAATAATATTCGCTTTATCCAGTAGACTTTATCATTTATTTATCTTGCAGAAGTACTAGTTGAATTCTGCATGTTGATGAGAGTAAAGTTTTCCACTTATTTTCAATTCTTAACAAGTGGTCTCCTATGAAACGAGTCTCGTCATTTCTCCTTATTCTGTCATTATCTGCAGGTTCCTTGATATATCATTTTGGCATAACTTAAAAAAAAAGATAAATTGCAAGAAAACGCACAGGCTCAGCAAGTGAACCTGTAGTTTAGTCCGATCATATTGGTCTGCCATTCCTTGTTGTTTTTCGATATGTAAGTAGAGCTTAGACTTCACACCATCTTCAGTCATTATCACATCTCCTCGATTTAGTCATTCTTCTGCAGGTTAACTTGCTTGGAAGGACGAGAGCACTAGAAAACGCACCGACTCAGCAGGTGAACCTGTTCTTTGGTCGTTTCATCTTCGTCCGCCATTCCTTGCTTTTACGAACAGTATGTCGAGGTTTCTCACCATCTGCAGTTATTCTCACTTTTCTTTTAACAGAACTTATCAAAAGACAAAGAGCGCGAGAAAAGACCCCAGCAACTAATGTAGTTTGGTCTGGTTCATCCGTTACTTTTCGCTTTTTTTATCTGTACGAAGCGTTTCTGCTTTTCGTCATCTTCACTCACTTTCCTTCTGTAAGTTAATTTGTTCAAAAATTATTAACATATTAAGGAGTCAGAACATGTGTCTCAGTGGCGAAAATATAGTTTGGTCGTTTCCAATCAACCCGGTCCGCCTATCCTGATGCTCAACATGACAGACACATTTCCGCTCTAACCCTGTTCTAAGCAACCTCCTCTGTCTCCTGCAGGTTAGCTTGCATAGGACTTTGAAAGATGATGGTGCAAAAAAACGCACAGATCATGTCAGTGAACCTGCAGTTAGATCGTTTCTAATCATCCTGGTTCGCTTCTCCTAGCTGATTTGTGTTATTTGGCAAAAAAAAGTACTGGAGTACTTTAAGTACTTACTATTTGTGATAAGAGATTTCAAATGTTCTCAAAACAAGGACTTTTACGATATGTATCATTTCACAAGTAGATAATGATGCGATTGATATGTATGTTCAAGACTTGTTTCCCATATATTTACCCTTTATTGCATTTTATAAAAATGATTAACGTTAGGCGATATTTTTGTTACAGGAGCTCGATCTGGAGCAGAAGATCGAAGTGGAGATCAAAATGAGAGAAGGAACGACGAAGCTGCTAGCGGCATGTAAACACCAGACTCAAAGCTTGGAGGCGGCCAAGTCTCTCCTCACTTCAAATGAAAGAATGTCCGCCTACATGGCAGAGCTCCAAAGGAGGAAAAGGCAGCAGATACCTAAGTAAGACATTTACGCTTACGACCGTTTCAAATATATAAATAACGACCCGTCTGGGCTAACTGTCGTTGATAAGTGTTCTCAGCCACCACCAGTTTAATCGTTATTGTAGTACTTTTCCGGTCCGCCCCTTTTCGCTTTTTGCACTTGTGATCTAGTGCCAGTTACATCATTTCAGATAATGACAGTTAGGTCATTAGAGAAGTCGCACTAGAAAGGCTGATATATGATGTTATTTGTTTTCATATTTTATTAAGCATTGTGTTTTTGGATTTAATTTGCCGCCAGTTTTAATACTTATTAGAGAGCACAATGTAACTTTTTTGGGCTTGTTAATGTTTATTATAAATAAATATAAAGTTTTATTGCTGCAAAATGCAAAGTACATGGTTACATCGACTAAAATACATAATTTATAAATTGATCCATATATGTAGTCAGTAGTCATAATTGACCGTATTAATTATACTTTTAATCTCAGGTCTTTGTTGAGATGAAAAGTCGAATATGCGCGAGCGGGATTCGTACCCACGACCTTCGACACAATACGCCGCTGCTCTTACCACTCGTCACCGTAGCTCAAGGTCATGGGTTCGAATCCCGCTCGTGGCACTTGCTTTTTCATCTCAACCAAGAGCTTAGATAAAAATTTCTTACACGAATTAAAAATTCAGGAACTCCTTCACACTTACGCACTTGAGCTATTGTGACCTCGATCCACGATAGCTCAAGTGGTAGAACAGCGGCGTATCAAGCCGAAGATCGTGGATTCGAATCCCGCTCGTGACACTGACTTTAGTTAAGTCAGTTACGCAAGCAGTAGAAAACGCACAGTCTCAGATAGTGAACTGTAGTTTGGTCGTTCCTGATCCTTCTGGCGTCCATAATCAATTCAAGAATCAAAATAGATCAGAAGAAGATACAGACAAACCAATCAAGATATGGCGAGAAGCCGAAACGCATCTGAAAAGTCCAAAACAGCCGGGATTAGCAGACAAAAATTGGAAACCACCAAACACCTACTAGCTTTTTCCTTGTAGTGGCTGATTTAAGCTCATTTTTGCTGCCTTTTTCGTGTAAGTGAGAGACAAAGCACGTACAAATTTTTTTACATTTAGAAAAGTTAACAAATAATGCAAATAGTTTTAGTTCATATATTCCAATGATTTTGAGTCATCTGCCAACGAAGACACAAGGAAGGAGTTTGTCTTGTTGGATATAGCGAAAAACGGGGGACTTAACTAAATATACCTGGGTAACTACCGTCGTTCATTCGACACGTCCATAGCCTGCACTTTTTTTATATTCACTAGTTTTCTTCGTACGCTTGACCAATTAATATCTTTCAATTAAATAAGGTTTTTAGTTGTGATAAAAAAGTCAGTGTCACGAGCGGGATTCGAATCCACGATCTTCGGCTTGATACGCCGCTGCTCTACCACTTGAGCTATCGTGGATCGAGGTCACAATAGCTCAAGTGGTAGAGCAGCGGCGTATCTAGCCGAAGGTCGTGGGTTCGAATCCCGCTCGTGACACTGACTTTTTTATCTCAACTAAAAACCTTATTTTTTTTTTATATTGTTGTTCACCTTGAATGTTGACTTCAGTTACTCTTACAGAATCAAATGTTCATTAGTGAAAAATAATCGTTATAGGTTGGCTTCTACGGATAAAAACCAGTTCTGAATTTTGGACAGCCTAGTTAAAAACTAATTTCTACGATAGTGGTACATGTGAGAAAGGGTTTCTCTTCTTCTTCCCAAACCGAGAGATTACAAAAGAAAGAATACAATCCGCCCTCTCCGATTTGTCTCACTGGGTTTCACAGATGAAAAGCGTTTCAAAGCGACAGCATGACGAGTCGCCGAAGTTGGAGTCAACATCCAGACACAATGACATCATTGAATCAGTTTTTGAGAAAGGAAAAATTGGCCAAAAGCCTGGTCGTCTACTCCCTAACGGATTTTCCATCAAAAGAAAAAATTCTCTTAAAACTTGCTAAAAGATTATACAAACAGATCGTATTACCCATTTATTTCTGTTTTACATTAAATATTGAATTCTATAACTTTATTTATTTACATGTTGCACAATCGTGTAGTTTTTCCGAAACTTCGTCATAAAAATGCAAAAACAAAACACAGTTCTGTACATGTGCCAGAAAACTGGATACCCTTTAAATAATGAATGGGGTATTCAATAAAAAATATAAATTATTTTGTAATAAAAATAAAAAAGTCCTAAGGTTAAGGGAGACTTATCCTTGAGGCTTGTTTTATTCTAGCGTTGCGTCAATGTGATCATCAGGCTCGTCTGGTCAATTAAGCGAATGTGATATCCCTCTTTTTCAAGTCCGGTCGATTTGAAATCCTTTCGCACAACTCGGAAAAACAAGCCGGGCCAATTTTTCAACGTTATTGGCCTTCAAATACACGCGGTTTGACAAATTGGAACGTGTTGTTTTCGACCTTTATCCGTGGTAATCGCTGACCTATCAACTTGATTAAGTTTGCCCCGGGCTAATCAACCGTGAATCGAGTTAGGCAAAGTGAAAAGACAAAGCGGCCACGAACTCACGGCAAGTTGTGGGTCCTTCGGAACCCTTAAGAAAATCCAAACTAAAGTAAAGTAATTAAAAGACTTCCGTCAACTTCTAACTGAGATAAAAATAAGCAGAGGGGTCAGATCCGTTGGTTTCATAAGCAACAATATTTTATAGAAAGAATTTTTAAAGTAACCCTTTAATAACTGAAGAAACAACTTTTTAAACAAACTTCTTCTAGAAAATAAAGAAAAAACATTTATAACTCGTCTCGTCCTTTGATAGGACGCGGCAAAGAACCGGAGGCGTTATCCTTCAGGAAGGAAACTCCAAACAATAGAGCATACATTTTTTTATTGAGACCGCCCTTTTTTAGGGCAGGAAGTTCTGTGCGGGTAAAAACCCGGCTTGGGTGAAGCACCGGGATCGATCCAGGACTTAGGATGGTAACAGCCGTCGCCGGCATCGGTTATTCAACACGCGGAACCGCAATTAATTGCCAATTAACCCGAATAGGCGGTGACGGATTTATTATCCTCGCAATTGTGATTTTTCACTCGCTGAAATAATTCTTGGGATGAAACTGTCAAGAGACGTCTGTCTCTATTAAAACTGTCATCTTGATGGTTGTACTGAGTGAATCGGGCAGATCATTTGAAATTTAAGATTAACCTTCTTGTTTTATTTTCTGCACTGTAGAAAATTGACGAGGGTGAAACATCTTAAATAATAAAGCAACAGTAAAGCTTTCTGAGTATGCCACCAAACCAATATAACTTTTTCCAAATCAAATCGAATTTTTTCCAACCAAACTGAACTTTTTCCTAACAATGTTGACCTGTTTTCAAATATAACAAATTTTTTTTTAACCGAGAGGAACTTATTCCAAAAATTGAACTTTTTCCAAATGAACTTTTGTTCATCAGAACTGAACTATTTCCAAACAATGTTGACCTGTTTTCAAACCAAGCAGAACTTTTTTTAAACCAAGTGGAAATTAGTTCAACCAAATTGAACTTTTTCCTAACAATATTGACCTGTTTTCAAATCGAATAGAACTTTTTTTTAAACAAGTGGAACTTATTCCAAAAGTCGGACTAGTTCCCAACCAAATTGACCTTTTTCCAAATCATAGTTTGCTTATTCCAAATCAAATTGAACTTCTGCCTAACCAAATTGAACTTTTTCCAAATAATATTGACCTGTTTTCAAATCAAATAGAACTTTTTTTAAACGAAGAGGAAGTTATTCTAAAAATCGGACTTGTTCCCAACCAAATTGGCCTTTTTTAAATCAAATTTTGCTTATTCCAAATCAAATTGAACTTCTGTCCAACCAAACTGAACTTTTTCCAAACAATATTGACCTGTTTTCAAATCAAATAGAACTTTTTTAAAACCAAATTGAACTTTTGTTCAACCAAGCTGAACTATTTCCAAACAATTTTGACCTATTTTCAAATCCAATAGAATTTATTCAAAAAATTGGACTTTTTCCAAATCAAATTGAACTTTTGTCCAACCAAATTCTATTTCCAAACCAAATTAAACGTTTTTTGAACCTAGAACAAGTTTGATCCATATTGAATTAAATAAATATTTATTGGGTCTGTTCATTGCATTTCTGCATTCCAAAATCTAATTTTTTTGGCGTATTTTTCATTATTTTCCCACTCGTCCTATAATTATTTCAAAGCATAAGCTTGGCATTCTTTAATCAAACTAAATGACAAAATGGTCATTTTGATCATTCTGATCTTCCTACCTCATTTTTTGGATCTTTTCAGCGTTTCACAATATTACTTTTTTGGCACCTTTTCATCACTTTCCTACTCATCCTCCTCTCATTAATTCAAAGCTCTAAGCTTGGCAAAGAAGAAGAAGAAGAAAAATAAATTTATTCTGGGACTGGTGTCCCCTAAGAATAATTTACATGAAATAAATAAAGGAAGTTCCTTCTATGAAGTTAAAAGTAAAAAAGATAGAAATCTTGGCACAATGTATACCAAGTAAGGCAGGCCAGAAGAGAAAATTACAATAATAGTAAACAAAAATAACATATGTTAACGTGAGATCTCTGCTTGGAGGGAGAGGAGGTGATTATACAGGTGTGATTTAAAGGAGGAAAAGGAGGCAGCATGACGAATAGAAAGGGAGTTCCAGAGTTTAGGGGCTCGGATCAGAAAGGATCTTTCGAAGGTATGGGTTGTATGTTGCGGAAGGATAAGGTCGATTGGGGATGAGCGGGTCTTACGAGTGTGATGTGAGGAGTTGAATTGGATTGGAGGGATTGAATGATGTGAGGAGGACGACAAGTGTGGATGGACTGGAAAAGAAAGCAACCTAGGAAATACTGTGCACGGAAGAAGGGGTAGAGCCAAGAAAGTTGGGAATACAACCCCGACACCCGGGATTCCCGTGGGGTGCCATACACAAATTTTACACAACAATTCATAATACGCTTCAGTCGTGCGTTCTCCCCTCCGAGAGACTACCATATGCCACACAGCTATAATCGAAGAAGGGAAGATAGAAGGAGTTTGCGGGTGGAGAAAGATAAGAGAAGCCAGGACCGACAGGCTGAGAGAAGCAATTGAATGGCAGGAAATTTGGGAAATTGGGGGGGGGGGGGTGGCAAAGCCTAGAATCAAACAAAATGACAAAATAGTAATTTACGATCACCCTGGTCTTCCCGGCATTTCACAATGTTACTTTTTGGCACCATTTTCCCACTCAACCTCTCATGATTTCAAAGCTCTACGCTTGGCCAAGTCTAGTATCCAACTAAATTCTCTTTCTTCTCTTGTAATTCCTATCATCTCTGTTTTCGTCTGCCTGCTAAATTTAGGTATTTCACAACCTTCACTGTTTTGTATGTGTTATAATTTCATATCTGTGACCCTTTTGTAGGTTCATATGTCACACAATCTTAAAAAGAAACTTTTTCATAAAAACTTAAGAAAGTTTTTATACTTTCACATGCTAGAAGGATGACATCAAAAATTCATCTTTACAGGGTTTTTTTTTTTTTTATTTTTTTTTTTTATTACTATTATTATTTAATAAACGTGTTGACTTATAAGATGGACATGAAACAGTTAATTTATATTTGATTTCATATTGATTTTTAACAAATCAATGTAACAAATATATATTGAGGTACTAACCATAAATAAATTTATTTAACATAAAATTTTTTTGCGTAATTTTTACAATTATCATTTTATTTTCAGGCCAGCAGGATGTAAGGCTAGGGTGTGCCTTTCTGACCTAAGAATGCCTCTTATCTGGAGAGATACCGACCATTTCAAAAACAAGGGTGACTACAGGCGTTTTGCTGTCTTCTGCCTTGCCAAAATCGGTACCGAGATGTACGACACGTCTCTCCTCTGTCCCGTCGACAGATCACTCACAGACCTCACTTTCTCTGATGTTCTAGTCTTGTAAATATTTTTTTTCTTTTGTTTTTATGGTGGACAATTTGAAGAGTTTGTGATTTTTTTAATTTTTTTTAGTAACCAAGTACCTTCAGACTTTACATTTACACTTGAAGTATATAGCCACATGTTGAGGGACGATATGTCAATAGCAAGTACAAGGAGGAAAATTAAAAATACAATACATACATCTATTAGCAGAACTGTAGGGAAAAAATTGGCCGCTTCTTTAAGAGATGAGCTTAATTCAGGAAAAATGTATGTTGCCAGTTTAATTTTAACTTTTTTGACATCTTTGGCTTAATAAAAAGTAAAACAAATTTTTTTTTTTTTTAGAGGTCCACATTTCGAACTGATGGCATCAGCTCGACTAGTGTTAGATGATGTTAATGATGTTATAAGAACACACGATCTTAAGTTAGAACACACAGGTAAAAAAACAGTTGAATATTTTGTAAAGTTAATTAAGAGGATGTAACTATCGGTTTTTATTATTTGTAGACGTCCGAGGCGGTGATGCTTTACCACTTTTTGGACATTTCTGTTGTCGACTTGCTGCCCAGCCAGAGTGCATGACGAGGGATGTGATCTCGTCGAGTCATACCAACGGATATGTCAGCTTACAAGCGTTTAACCTTAACTTCTGGAAGGACAGGCAACATTGGCTCCAAGGCAATTTACCATTATTTAGAACACCTGTCAATAAGGTACTTTTTATACGATTTCTCGCTTTTTATTACTTTTACTTATTTCTTTTCAATGCATTTAGGAAACACTTATAAAATGTACAAAACATGGAAACGATATTATAATAGTAAATGAAATCGAGGGGAAAGAAGAGACCAAGACGATAAAGCTAAATTCGAAAGAAGATAAAGAAATGTGGCTTGAATATCTAGCTGCTCACATAAAAGACCACGAAAGGTATTCTTGCTTTATAAATGTATTTCTACCAACCTCAAAATATGTAAATAATATGCACAATGCTAAAAATATATGGATTAATATACACAATGTTGAAAATTGGCGATGGAAAATAGAATCAAATATACAAAATCGACTGCATAAAAACATTTATCTAAGGTCTTGGTTAAGATGAAAGAGTTAGTGACACAAGCGAGATTCGAACCCATGAACTAACTTTTTCATCTCAACCATGACCTTAGAGAAAAAGAAAATTTAAGTGAAATAATCAATACGGTCAATTATGGCCGCTAAACATATATGGATTTTTATATTTATATTTGTTATCGTTAGGTGGAAGATAGCAGCTGAAAAAGTGATGGATATCTACACGCCAGGCACTGGAAAGAACAATTTCCAAAGGACGTACAGGCAAGGCTCATTGTACGATGAAACGCCGTTAATTGGTATGCGTTTATTTTTATTTTAAATTCTTCAAAGATTTTTTTTTTATGTAAATTATTTTGTTGCAGATACAAATGAAAGCAGTGATTATAGGCCGACGGTGCATGATATTTTCGGCCTGACGCCTTCGACCAGCCTCAGCTCTTGCTCGTCATCGTCTTCGCCTACATTCAGAGAGCGGTCTCTGAGCTCGGGGGGTAGCAACAAATCTCGAACGCGTTCCCATTGGCCATTTTCCAGAGGAAATCAAGATTGAATAATAAATGAGTGATGTTTAGATATTGTAAATAATTAATAATAAAAAAAAAGTGGTCTTTCTTCCTGAAACTGCTAAACGCTTTTGTGCATTTGTGAACCGCTCTTTTTTGTTTCTTTTTTTATACATATATATCTATATTCTTTATATTTGTTCAAACTTTTGCTAAGAACGTGTATAATTTTATATATTTATTCTGTTAGGAGCTTTTGGACTCAAAATCCAATTTAAAAAATAAAAAATAAAACTTTCTAACTTTTAATCAGTATTAATTTCAGTCTAGGCTTTTTAAAAAGATTATCTATAAATATACGACAGAAGATTTCTATTTACATAATTATGTAATTCTTCAGTTTAATAAAAGTGAGATTGTTTAATTTAAAATAATATCCTTAACCTTTTGATTTTGAACATTTTAACCATCTTCACTGATTCTGTCAGACACATTACAGCATTTTGTCATCTTTAGTGGTGGCTTTGTTGAGACATACAGGCAAGGAAATACGCAGACTAATCACTGAAGATGGCAAAAAACCAAGATGGATAGAAACCAGCTTGATCAGAAATGACTAAATTACTGTTATATATTCTAAAAATCAGTATTAAGTCAAACAGGGTTAATATTCTATCAGATCCCAGAAACACACAACATGCTTAAAGCGGGGGGGGGGACACGCTTACCTGACGCAAAGCTACCCGATGTGACCCGAAGCCACCCGACACAAATCCAATGTCCAATTTTCCAAAAGATTGTATTACCCCCGTGCATATCTGCCCGATGCCATGGAATGCTACACTACTCTACGCTCTGCGATCCCCATTGTCCAGATTTTCGATGAGTAGCATCGAGTACAGTCGAAGACAATAAAACTGGACACTCATATTTTTATTTCAAACTATATATGTATTATTGTTGTTATATTAATTATAATTCACTAGTTTCATGGTCCGCTTGACCAATTAATATATTACAATTAATTAAGGTTTTCATTTGAGATAAAAAAAGTCAATGGCACGAGCGGGATTCGTACCCACGATCTTCCATTTCATTTGTCGCCGAGAATCAAATTGATTACAGGACATTTGAAAAATGGCAAAAAGGAGGGAAAATTCAAAAGGTGTGGTTGAGATGGGAGGTTGGTGTCCGAGTGGATCGAGGTCACGATAGCTCAAGTGGTAGAGCAGCGGTGTATCAAGCCGAAGATCGTGGGTTCTAATCCCGCTCGTGCCATTGACTTTTTTATCTCAACTGAAAACCTTAATTAATTATAATTAATTATAATATTCTTATTTTAATATAAACCAAACTAAGCGAGATCAAAAATTCATTAGTTTTTTGTTTTTGTTTTTATTAATTTTAATGGTTTGGCAGAAAATTTATCAAAACAGGAATACCATTTATTGATAGAATGAATTTAACTAACAATTCATTTCGTCATTTTGCTCATAAAATTTATTACACGGTTTTGCTCATAAAATTTAACTAACAATTTATTACATGATTTTGCTCATAAAATTACACCATTTTCATTGAGTAGCGTTTATTTCAAACTGTATATTGTAATTTTGTCGTTATATTAATTACAACATGCTTATTTTATTGTACGAACGTAATGTTTTATCCAAATTAAACGAAATCAAAAATTCATGCGTTTTATAAAAATTATTTAATTATGATGATTAGGCAGAAAATTTATCCAAACACTGGAATAACTTTATTTAAAACAATTAAAATGTGCACACCCTACCAAAATGAGACGAGAGGTGTTATGCTTAAAAGTCTGAACGGACAACAGTTTTTCAAGCTGAAATACATTGCATCATGTATGTGCCTTAGAAAATCTTAAAAGAGGTTATGCTGACAAAAAAATTCTTATAAGGTCGGACAGCCAAGCAGCCATTAAAGCATTAGCATGTAAAATAAATCACATCAAAATTAGTGAATGCATACAAAATCTCCAAAGCCTGGGAAACACACAGCCTGATGATATCTTAGGTACCAGGAGTCCAGGACAGGAATTTTGGGTAACAAAAAGGCAGACACACTGGCCAGAGACTATTTATAGACCCAGAACCTATTCTTGGGTTAACAAAAACAAACAGAATCATCATTCACAGAATGGATCCAAAAAAAGACAAAAAGAGAAGTGAATAAATTCTTGGGATACTAGGCACAATAAGCTTATGTAAAAAAGGGCTAAACTCAGAGGACTGATAGGACTATATACTAGTCACTGACATCTGAGAAAACATCTACATGGTTTATCGATGATGACCCCATTTGTAGGTTATGCAATGAGGAGAAAGAAACATCCACCCATATCATCTTTGAATGCAAATCAACCGTTCAATGGAGACATAACCTGAGATACAAAGAAAACCCAAGGAAAGGAATTGTACTAAGCCAGTCAAAGACCTAGTACTCCTTAGAAGAAGAAACGTGTAGATTGCACTGAACTAAGGAACTATGAAAGTGCGATATCATGTCCAGAAGGCTTCAGTGCTTGGGTAATAAAAAAATCCCTGATTCTATATGAGCTGTAGAGAACATATAAAATTTGGATTCAACCGTTTGCCAAAAATGCCTCTGTAATCATCCAAAGATATGAATTGTGTATCTTGGTTTTGCGAGTCGTCAGTCATATAGGCAATAAACAGTCATGGACAGCACGAAATCAGATTAGGAAATTAGTTTGTATAACTAGTTTTATGGTATTTCATCTTCCCTTATTATTCTAATTAAAAGGAAATAAAATAGATAATTTGGTTTGCAAAGTAGTAAACAGAACTGAATGCCTGAGAGAGGTGGAACATTGAAAGAAATAAGACATAAGAGATCAGAGCAATCTAATAGTAAGTACTGTTTTTAAAAAGTTAATAAATCAATCAAACAATGGAAGATTAAAAAGAGAAGAATACGGTTCTGGGAAGGTTTATTGAATGATGACCCCATTTGTAGGTTATGCAATGAAGAAAAGGCCACCCATATCATCTTCAAAAGCAAAACAACCACTCAATGGAGACATAACATGAGATACAAAGAAAACCCAAGAAAAGGAATTGTAGTAAGCAAGTCTAGGGTTCTAATAAATTTGCTGATTACAAACAATGGTAGAAAATTCAAGGATAGGACGAATAAGAGCAGTATGCTTCAGTATAATGTAAAGAATTGGAATTACAAAAATTACAAGTGTTTCTTATTACAAAACCCAAAATTTGAAAAGCTTTCTTTTTAATCCATATAGGTATTTAGTAGTCAGAATTGACTGTATTAATTATTTAAATTATATGTTTTATCTAAGGCCTTGGTTGTAATGAAAAAGCTAGTGTCATGAGCTGGATTCAAACCCACGACCATCAGCTCAATACGCTGCTCTAACTATTTGAGCTATTGTAATTTCAATCCACTAAAAATAAGACTGATGACACTATATTTGAAAATAAGGCAAAAACTGGGAAAATTTGAAAAGTACGTTGAGACGATCGAAGTCACAATAGCTCAAGTAGTTAGAGCAGCTGCATATTGAGCCGAAGATTATGGGTTCGAATCCTGCTCGTAACACTAGCTTTTTCAACTCAACCAAGACCTTAGATAAAAAGTATAATTAATTAATATAATACAATGTTGGATTTTTTTGAAAATAGGACAAATCCGCTTTATCAAAAACATTATGGTGATATTATGATACATACTTTTTTTTAAACTATGAGTATTGTTACGATCAAGATGAAGAAAAATTGCAATTTGTTTTCCAAAATAAAATTAAAAATCCAGCTAAAATGTTTCTTTCAGACTCACAAAACATACATTGATTTAATCCAAATGCCAAAAAGATTTTTGAAGATTGGAGTGTGATTAGATTTAGAAACTGTCTTTATTTGACTAAGGATTTATTTATCTCATGTGGTCAAAAATAGTCCAGTAATTTGATATCAAGCTAACTGAACGGGATGAGGAAGCGGAGATAAAATTAACTGTATTTCCATCCTATCTTACATGACATTTATGCCTTGTCGAGACACGTCCTTCATGCAAAAATAAGACTACAAACATAGAACAAATTCAATTATTAACTCTTCAAAATTAAAATTACAAAATTGGCGACATTTTATATTTCTTCTGATTGTTTATTATAACTTTTTTGTTAAATAATAACGAAGAAAATATGAAAATAAAATAAAGCTAAATAAAAAAATTAATCAACAATAACGGGGCCTGCTTCCAATTGACTCCAACTACCTATTCAACTTAGACAAATTTTGCGTAGTGATGGAATAGTCCAATAAACAAATAAAATAACAAATTGACAAAGCAAAAGGAAAAGAACACAATAGGAAAAAATTTTTTGCATGCTACAGCATGAAAAGAAACAATTTATTAGAAAAACCAACATATACTTGTAAAATAATAATATAAAGCAGAAAAATAAAAGGCTCACTGCCATAATAGTATTTAAAAAATAATAATAAAAAAATATATATAAAAAAACCGCAATGGTGTGAAAAGCAACTGTAGCCCTGTGAACAAAAGACGCTCAGCATAACATTTCCTTCATTTCACAGACATTCTTGAGGATATCCCTCATCTAGCAATGCCTGCCCATTCCCCATCAAGCCAAACAGGTCCCCCCAAGGTCACACCACCTTTTAAAGCCAGTAAACTACATTGGTCATAGCCAACCCTCTGTTCTTCAACAGCTGTTCTTCTCTTTTCCTCTTTGCATTTTCTTACTACTAATTAATTTCTCTGATTTTAGCCGTCATATTCATGTCTAATGAAGTGTAGCATGTTGAGGTAACTCATTCACACTGCCCCAGAAGTCTATATCCCTAGGGATAATGGAGAAAGAAGCCCCTCCATTCACACTAATAAATACATTCACCACACTTTGTTCACACTACCCCAGAATATTCAACATTCCTCAGTCTTTCTTTCCACACTAATAAATTGCTCTCACTCAGTACACACAAATAAGAACTGTTTTTCATTAACCCTTTTCAGTCAAGCTAATACAGTCATACAACATATCTCATTCATTCGTGCCCAAGTATTCAATATTCCTCGGGGATTATTCTTGCCAGTAAATATATTTGTTTTAATACTTAACATTGTATCACATACATAAACATACAAATTTCTATACTGTTAATAGTATGATACCATAAACATTGAACTTTGTATGTTTATGTAGGGATCGCCCTGAGGTACTGGATCATTGTTCTATACCCCAAGACTGCATCATGCGGGATGTCAAAGTTTTTTTCTTTATGCTTAATTCCCTATAATCCATTATTATGTGCTCAGTGACACTTTCCATACACAACATTAGGAGGTGCCGAAGTGTAACTGAGTATGATCTATGCCCAACTTGTGTGAGTTTCGCTTCCAGACCCAGCTTTTACAGGTTAAGGACTTATGTATTTTTTAACTCTAAATAATTCTGATGTATTTCTATCAGTCCATAAAACCAATATATGCAAAATATTAAAAATATTCTAAAATGAAGGCCATTTTTTATGGATTTTTTTTCTCTATAATAAAAAGACCTCTATGACTAATATTCCACCTTAATCCTTGTAACCTTATAAATTTTATAACAGGGTGGCTGAGCAGATCTGGGGATGGACAAGACGGTGAGCTGAGACATCGTGACCCTGGCACTCCCTTTTACACCAAAAAATTAATGCATCTGTACTTAATTGTTATTACACAGATCATCTAAGAGGTGTGCATGATACTGACAATGTCCATAACCCTCCAAATCTTGGGTCCTGCATTGACACAAGGCTCCCAAACCCTCAGAAGCCCGATCCGCCTCATATACCTAACTGAAGTGATCTAAATTTCATGCAATAATTTAGAGAATATAAACAGATTGTCTAAATTCGAGGAATCGTCCCAAAGAATCTTCGACAATATCGTTTAAAATGAGCAAGATTTTAGCTGAAATGAACATTTAAATTTGTCAAGAGGAATGCAATAGACTCTGACAGGCTATTTTTTATCTAAAAGAATTTCCCCTGATGCTAATTGTCAATTGTTTCAGATAAAATGACAAAAAATTGGTAGATTTAATAAGACATGTTTAAGATGTTCAAATTATATTCTATTTTAAATACTTTATGATGGCCATCACTTATCCCAAAGGTTTTGTTTTATCTTTTGCACTTCATCTAACTTAAGACTGTTAAGAACTATTTCTTGTTGTCAAATAAAATATCAATAATACTCTACAGTGATGATCGTCATTTAGAATTTTTTTTATAATCAGTACAATTTGAGTACAATTGTTGTCATTGTAAATGGTGCTATAATTGATAAATGTAATTGTATGAACTGGATTTTGTTACTGCACACTTTCATAAAATAATAAATAAAATAAATGGATGTTTTTTTAGGTCAATTTAATAAGAATTTCTCCAGTTAAAAAATAAAGATTACCCGAGAATAATAAAAGAAAAAGAAGAGAATAATTCTAAGGGTAAATTATTTAATATGAATTGAAGTAATGAACTGAACCGAAATAATTCGCAACGGTTTGCATCGGACGTGGAGGGTCAATCGGAGTTTATTAATAAAATTTTTAAAAAACTTCAAGGCGCATATAAATAAAGTTTGAATAAAAATATCCTGTTGTCACGTTGCGGTCGGCGGCCGAAGGCCCGGGTCGAGCAGCGCAGACGTCAACACTCGACGCAGAAGGCCCGTTCATAGGGCGCAGGACGCGGGGAAATTCAGCAGAAGCCACGAGGAAGTTGTACCACCTGAAAAGGGTCTCCGACTCGACGTTCTTCTCGTTTTCACGGGTCGTTCTCATTGTAAATACTCCTCGTCGTTTGTTTATTTTTATTTGACCGGCCTGGAAGGTGAATAACTTCGATGTTCGGTTCGGGCGCAGAGTTTCCGTGCCGCCTACGCGTTATGACGACCTGTTAACCGGCCGACGGTTTGTAAAATGTCGAGTCGGTTTAAGACGTGGAATCCTTGTTAGAGATCCTGTTTTGCTCGAATTGAAACTATACGTTTGAAAAATGGCTCTGCCGAAGAGGAAGGAGATTTACAAATACGAGGCCCCTTGGCCTCTGTACAGCATGAACTGGTCTGTGAGGCCGGACAAGAGGTTCAGACTGGCGTTGGGCTCCTTCGTCGAAGAGTACAACAACAAAGTGCAGATAGTCTCTCTGGACGAGGACACGTCGGATTTCAGCGCGAAGAGCACTTTCGACCACCCTTACCCGACGACGAAGATAATGTGGATACCGGACAGCAAAGGGGTGTTCCCAGATCTGATGGCCACGAGCGGCGATTACCTGCGAGTTTGGCGTGCCGGCGAGCCGGAGACGAGGCTCGAGTGCGTCTTGAACAACAACAAAAACTCGGATTTCTGCGCCCCGCTCACGTCTTTCGACTGGAACGAGGTGGATCCGAATTTGATAGGTACGTCGAGCATAGACACGACGTGCACCATCTGGGGGCTGGAGACGTCGCAGGTGGTCGGGAGGGTGAACGCGGTCGCAGGTCACGTCAAGACGCAGCTCATAGCCCACGACAAGGAGGTCTACGACATCGCCTTCAGCCGGGCCGGAGGCGGCAGGGACATGTTCGCGTCCGTCGGGGCAGACGGTTCCGTCAGGATGTTCGACCTCCGCCATCTGGAACACTCGACCATCATATACGAAGACCCGGCCCACACACCACTCCTCCGTCTCGCCTGGAACAAACAGGATCCGAATTACTTGGCGACGGTGGCCATGGACGCCTGCGAAGTCATCATTTTGGACGTCAGGGTCCCTTGCACTCCTGTCGCGAGGCTGAACAACCACCGCGCCTGTGTAAACGGTATCGCCTGGGCTCCGCATTCCTCCTGTCACATCTGTACCGCCGGCGACGACCACCAAGCCCTGATCTGGGACATACAGCAGATGCCGAGGGCGATCGAAGACCCTATCCTCGCCTACACGGCTGCAGAAGGCGAGATCAACCAGATCCAATGGGGCGCCACTCAGCCCGACTGGATCGCCATCTGCTACAACAAGGCGCTCGAGATACTCCGTGTCTGAAACGATCCAGTGGTGTCGACAATCGTCGAAAAGCGGTTCGGGTGCTATCCCTCATTATTTTACACTTCGCAGGACTGATTTTAACGATTGAAACATACAAAACTTGACGATTCGACAATTAGGAAATCTTACACAAACGACCGCTTTTGTTTAATCCCAACTGTCAAACTTAAGTTTCTTTTTGAGAAAACTATAAAAACAAACTTTTAAAAAAGCCCATTGCTAGTCTTCTTGTTAGTGTAATAATTGCAGTGATGGACTACGATGGAAATCTAAAATTCAATTAATCCATTCTGTGTTTTAAGACTGTATGTTCTTGTATATTTTGTTGCTAGTTATAAATTTTGTATATTGTATTTTATACAGGGATTTTTTTAATTTATTATCATGCCTATTGTTTCTGATCCAGATACTTAAAAGTTTTAATCGCCAAAATGACTCAAGTATATTTACAGTTCCATTTGTATAATTTTAGAATAAGGTTTAAACAGAATCAAAACAGAGAGAAATAACAAATTGAGTAATGACAAAGAATATTTTATATTGGAAAATTATTTTTACAGAATTTTAAACCTTAGACGTTGCTAGAACTGTTCAGAACGCTCAGTTGACGATTTTGGCATTAAACCTTTTGCGTACATTAAAATATTTTTAGTTATATAACAGACTTTCTAGATAAAAAGATTATAGTGTTTGTATATTAACAGAGAAAGTTCTATGAATAGATTTTATATTGTGCTAAGTGTTGTAGTAAGAACAAAATATATTTATTAAGTGTAAATTATCTCTTCTTTTCTAACATCACGTTTTTTCCTCCTATATATTTATGGGTCTATTCAGGAAGATAATTATTTTATCCTTCTTATTGATTATTATTTTCCTAATTGAAAGTTTTAATGAATCACTATCCAATAAATGGATAATTGTGAGTACAGTTATAAAAAATAATAAGAAAATGGCTTCAATTCACCGGTAAAACCAGTTTCTTGTAGCTTTTTTTACATTTTGAGTCGTAGGGATTTCCAACTTCATTGGGATTTTGCATTTGGACATTTATCTATTATGTCCGAGCATTGTTAATAAATTTCCTGGACAATTTTAATTTCAGGAAGTACAGAGTTCTTCTCAGGGGTAGTAAGGTGAACATTGCTCAAGAATTACTTTCCTAGGTCTTTGCCTAGCCATCGCAAAGGTCGATGCTCAGGTTATCCCATTCAGTTATTTGCGCAAGTAGTCCTTTTGCTTGCCTTTTACCTGATGTTCCCGGTATTTGTTGTGTTCTCTAGTAATCCAAGAATCCAGTTCTTTTTTAATGTAGCTGTTTCATGCCACAATGTGTGTTAAACTGAGGCCTCATATTTAGAAAGTATATCCCCTGCATCATACCCTGTAATCCCTCATGACCTGGGACTCACCTTTCAGGCTATTTGAAGATATGTACCAGCTTTTTAAGGGTATTCAAGGAGTTCCAGAGTAGTTTTAAGTTTATCTCATATGTTTGGAGAGCCATTAGAACTGATATGTCTATAGCTGTCTGGGTATCTGATACGACTAGAGCTGTCTGGGTATCTGATACGACTAGAGCTGTCTGGGTATCTGATACGACTAGAGCTGTCTGGGTATCTGATATGACTAGAGCTGTCTGGGTATCTGATATGACTAGAGCTGTCTGGGTATCTGATACTTCTAGAGCTACCTGGATATCTGAATTGTTGCATCTTGAGACTTTTGTATTTATTTCATGTGCACATGTTTCTATGGCTAGTAATTTGGCCTGAAAAATGGCCATGAAGCCAAGAGCCAAGTGGTGCTCATAACTAGGCCCTTTTATGCCCATTTCCAAATAATTTACCACCTGTATGCCATAGAAAGGCAACTTAACTTCCCTTTATTTTTCTATCAGCTAATCAATAATTATCTTAAATGGCCTTACAAAGTCTAGTAATTTCTCTGATACATCAAAGTTAATTTTAAAAACATCAGTTATTTCAACTTTGTCGAAAATTTTTGTGAGCTGTTTGATGCTTTCTTTCCATCCATTGAATTCTCAGTTCATCAATGGATGGCATCTTGAGGGTTCATCCCATTGTGGCTGTTTAAGAGATTCTTTGCTTTTAGTAGTAGTTGCCCTTCCTTTTGACCACCATGTGTGATCATAGGTCTGACTATCATAACATACAGTCATAAGATCATTTTAAGATGAACCCCTAAGCATATCCATTGTACTTTAATGCTGTGGATTCTCTGAAGGTGTGCAATAAATGTTAACTTTTGGACAGGAGCTACACCTAGGTAAGTAACCATTCATGTAACTTAGTACTTTCATATTAAAAAAGCATTTTTTTTAAGTATAGTAAATAGTAAAAATAAATATGTAATAGTAAAAATTAGTTTAAAAAGTTAAGATTGACTCAAGAAAAAAATTAAGAAACATACCATCTCTTCATTTGTAAAAATGTCCAAAATCAATTAACACATTTTTAAAGATTATGCTTGAGTAAACTCCCACATTTTTATGCCATATCAATCAACTATGGCTATAACAGAGCTTTTTTTGTAGTAGTAAGGTTAAAATGGAAGCAGGTGAGACAATCCCAATCCTATCATTTCTAGTTAGAACATATTTACAGTTTTATGTACTTTTTAATTATCTTCTGATGAGTTTCATTTAGAGATTTCTTGTTGAGGTCTGTGTGGTGAACTTGTATTTTGGATGATTACGATTCATAGGCCCCACCACCTGAAGATGGCGAAATGATGAAGCACATCAGACAGGAAACCCATTTAATATCCAAATTACAACAATAAAGTCTTTTGTTCACTAGTAGCAAAAACCAGAAAATGTTGCTAAATCTGATTTGGTCAAATGCTGTCTCTTTTGTGTTTCTATGTTTAAATTTTCAAATTGATAATTCATACAATTTTCTTGTGATCTTTTATTATTCTAATGCTTTTAGACGGTTTATATTTAAGCGTATAATATTGTAGATTTTTTGTTTTGTTTCGACTATCTTCATGGTGGAGCATGAACTGGGGCATTGCACGCATCCCCCATTCTCAGTACTCTTCGGCTATCACTATACAGACAAAAGCGCAACTATTCAGTAAACATAACAGCCTTCCAATTCCAAGTGCTCACTGCAACATATTGCCCCAACAGGGCTACAATGTGAGCCCAACTTCCCACAATCGTTCGTATTGATAAAGGCCTTGCCAAAACATCTTGTACTTCATTTAGAATCTGGCAGGCACTAAAGAATAGGTTCATCTTGCAGCAATGGCAATATTTCTATCCTGCCTTAGCGTCCTAATCCGCTAAGATCCACTACCAAGCATCCTATTAGCAATTCCAGTCTTTTGGAATCGAAGTAAGCCCAGGGGACGACGCTCTGAGATACTCCCACTGCCTCTGCGTATCCACTTGCAAGTGATCTCGATGACTCATTCTCACAATAATATTGCGAACTTCTGCTTCAAGATGATGTCTTTCCAAGGTTAAAGAGAAGACAACTATTAAAATGGAGAAAAGACTTTTACCAAATGAATAATCTTTGTATTTACTATTCTTAAGCAAATCCGTTATTAAAAATGAGGATTAACAAATTTTTTGTTTTTGATTTGTATTTTCTGTTTTGTTTTATCCAACTAACAAGCATTTATCGGTTAATTTAATTAAAATTAAATAAGAATAAATTACAAATATCTCTATTCATTTTTAAGCATTTATATTCCGAAATGAAGGTTTTTTTGCATGGAGTTTATACAAATGGATGGGATGATAAAGCTTTGGACAGCATAACAATTTATGCTCACGATGTATACAATTTGAGCTAAAAGGAACGATAATAGGAATATGACAGATCCACTAAGGTGGTCACCTACACTAATTGCACACTGAAGATCTTCAACATAGTGACAATAGTTCTAGGTTAAAGAGGAAAAATTTAGCCATAAATTAGTAAAATAAATTTAATAAGAGATTAACAATGTCTGAACATGTGCGCAGTTCGTTTTTATAGTCTATTTTTCTTCTATTTCCAAGCTCCCGTCTGGCTCGAGTGTCCTTTTAACTTTCTCTCCCTTTTCAGCGAGGATGTCCTCGATGTTCCTCTTCCCGTTCAGGTCGGAAAACCATCCCAAGTTGTCGGCGATGAGGTGGTTGTTGGAGCACCCGTCGCACCTCACGATCACCACCCCCTTGGTGTAGGCCTGGTGCGAGATGAACTTCGAGTTCCTCGTCTGGCACTTTTTGCACACGAATTCGAGTTTGAGGCTTTTCGGAATCCGAATCAAAGGCACTGACGTCGAATAACGGGGAGTCGCGGGCTTGGGAGGGACCCGGGGTCGGAGGAAACCACGTGAAACGAGACTAAACACAACCCTGCCCAAGCTCATCCTGACCTGTCAATTCGAAGAGAAAAAAGTCTCAACAAAATTTTGAACCATTCCGCCCGACAGTCAACCGAACATTGTTCAAAATGAAATTTATAAGGGAAGGCAGCCGCAAAACGAATCGATTGACACCAACAAAATATCTCGAATGAATTTCGAGAAATTCCTCTAAAAATATTGAACGACAGATCAACAACTACCAAAGAGAACTCTAGTTATATATTTTTTTCGGTTTAACTCAACTTCTTCCAGTAATGACAACAAAATAAAGACCTGTCATTTTCATACAAACTCTTATATAATATTGGCACAATGGGTGTTCCTCAAGGCAGTATACTTGGCCCACTCTTGTGCATAATTTTGATACTTCCTTAGAGATGCTGACTGCCGTGGTTTTCATTAGTTGGATTTGAATTACTCTAAATAAAATTTCATAATATTCACCAAGACAATTAAACACTACTAGAAAACTCTGTTAACTCTTATTATTACAAACTATTACTCTCCATTATTGATAAATTTGCTATAACTTCCATTCGTGATGCTGAGCTGCAAAAATCTATGGTATGGTATGGTGAAGAAGGATACTAGGAAGCGGGGTTTGCACTCCCCAGGCACTGCAGCCTTCTGGCTTATTGTACCCTCCTAGCTCCTTAGTTCAGTGCAGTAGACTCAATCCTTCTTCTTAGAAGTATCAGGTCATTCAGCAGATTGAAGAAGGTTTCATTATCTGTTTCTCACATTTAGTAAGGGATGGTTCTACTCACAGAATTAGGTTCACATTCTCATGCAGCTTTCATTCTCATGCAAATAACCAATTGTAACAAAACCCTTAACTTATGGAATAAATAATTTAATAAAATATTTTTGATTATATATTTTCACTTTTTGTGTTAAAATTTAATAAAATGATCTTATAAAATGATGATGATGATTCTTATAATTTATAATATCAAAATAAGGAATATAACATTTTAAATAGCCTGAATAATTTTCCAATCATTATATACCAAATAATTGTTTTTATTCCTCAATACCCTAAATAATTATAATTAATATATTATTAACATATTATATTTAATAAATATAAATAAAATATGCATTATAATTATATAGCACATTATATTACATATACAATAATGTAAATAGAACTCCTAAATTCTATCTTAAAAACTTGCAGACCTCAAGAAGAAATTCACCATTCATTGTTAGAAAAGAAAAAAAGAAGTAAAAGTAAAGTAATTCCTGACATATAGAGGGCTTAAAATCCAACTACCCATTGGGCGTTGCGGGCACAGGGTCAAACCACTTTACAATACATTTTTCATACCATTATCAATTAAAAAGCCATGAGCTCTGCTGGGATTCAAAGCCAGAATCGCTAGCATGGCAAATACATGTTTGAGCATTCACAATTATTTGTTTTAGTCAAATTCCCAGTTGAAATGTATTCAAAATGGATAGGGAATGAATGGCAGCCGCCTATAATCGGAAATGACACCCGGAGTTTGAACATTCTCATTCAGGTATGCATCGCTTTACGCAGGCATGTTGTAACATCATGAAAATGTTTTACAGGATTGTCATCTTCTCGTAGTACTCGATACTCAAGTTTTAGAATCTGTAAGCTTGATGCAGAGCCGGAATCAAGCTGAGGCGGTATGCAAAAATGAAACAATGGCTGTAGAAGCTAAAATTCAGGTTTCTAGCAAATTTAACTATTATAATCTAAGGCAGAGAGAAAAATAATAAATGTGCAATTTCAGGGCCTCACGAATAGATTTAGACTGAAATTCTTCACAAGAGATGATGCAGAAAAATGTTTATCTGTTGTTCAAAAATATATAACTACTTTCTCAGGTCCAAAATTGGACAGATCGGAAATTTGCACTATGCCACAATTGTTGGCGAAAACAATGGAAACGTGCAGTAAGGATCTTAAAGGTAAGCTTGATTTATTTACAAAAATAAATATATATAATGAGTTGTGTGATTTTAGCACCTGATTCAATACCAGACGAATACCCATTAGAGGCTGCAATACAGCTTTGCATTCTGGACCCAGGGTTTCCTTCACTATTGAAAAGAATAGAAAATATTCTGGAAAGATTTAAGGAAAGTGATTAGTTAATTTAGAAAAAAAAAGTTGTGTTTGTTTTCAATGGTTTTAATCGGAAAATGATAAAAACAAATTATTTACAATTATTTACAAGTGAATGTCCAAATTGTTATTTTGTTAAATATCTTCCTTCCCCTCTTTCTTCACTTTAATAGGTTTCTGTAAAAAATACAATGCATGTTATGGATTTTTTTTTTTAATGATTAACGAAACTTACCTTGTCGAGTAATTCTGAAAAATCGGCTTTAATTTCTTTTGCTAAAACTTTATCGCACAGTGCTGCCAGAGCTTTATCTTTAATTGTGGCGTTTTTAATTTTGGGAACTTCTTTCTTCTTTGGCATCGGAATCGATGGTTTGAAGGCCATCTCGCTCGGATCGAAATCTTTATAAATTTCAGCACTTGATCTAAAACCACACAATTAAAAAACATGTAAGGATAGAATAACAATGCTTTAACTTACAACTTAACAATTTCAGGGGCTAAGCTAAATTTTCCAGTTGGTGGCATCAAATTGACAACATGGTCTGAGATTTGCCTCACAGTGGGATGATAATGGTTCTAAAAATGTATAATAATCGTTAGTATAATTTAGTATTTATAACAGCCATAAATATCATACCGATAATAATGGCATCTCGTATAGTGCAGTCGACACCGCATTACAATACTCAGGGTCTTGAAGTTCTGGTAAATACACACCCTGTCCAATACTTGTATCAATTTCTAATAATTTATCCACACCTTTGTTCAACTAAAACAATGATAATAAATTTTAAAATAGGTAAAGGTTATAAATTTTGTTTTTATCGAGCTCACCTGAAACATTTGGCGCATGATTGTAAGACAGGCGATTGCCACATGGTGTTCTTGATACAAAGAGATAGTCCCAAGGCGTTTTATGAATGCCAACAACCTGCTGAACGTCAGTTTTTTCCTCCTGCCCAAAATCACTAGATCCAAACACTGAAGTAGAAGCTGTTCATTCTCATTTTTATAATTATCTGTATAAAAAAAATTCAATATTAGCGTGTATTTTTATTTTGGGAGAGATTAAACATATTACCCAAATGAACGTTTAACATGATCGCATAAAGGTGGGTGTAAAATTTGTTCGGGTCGATGCTCAGCGACTCGCCCTGGCCGGAAAGTATTTTGAAAATGGTGAGAATCGAATTGAGCCGTTCCTTTACATTTAAATTGCCGTTTGCAAGCAGGTTGTGCAATACGACGACGAGATCCTGATAAAACTCGATGTTGATGCAGTGGGTGAATTTCGCCAAGCCTTGAAGTGCCGCGCTCAGCAGTCCCGACGAAGGGGCGCTTTTTAAAATTCTAAAATATATTGTGAATACTAATTTTATCACTTCTGTTAAAAGCGCCTTCTGCTGCTGTTTATTCTCTTCCGCTTTTGTTTCCAATAGTTCTTTCTCTATTTCTGCTATTCTCTTCTGTCTCTGTTTTAAAACAAAAATTTACGTGTAATTGATTTTAATTGAGAATTTTCCTTTACTCACTTTTTTCTCTTTTTTTGACAGGTTGATTATCCTCTTTTTCTTCTCTTGAAGTTTTTTCTCTTTCATTTCTGCATTTTTCATGTCGTCTAAGTTAATATCATTGATCTTTAAATAAGAAAGAACGGTGATCGCATCCGGCCTTACTGCATGTTTTCGTGTTTTCACCAGATCATTTATTCTTCTGACTATCTATACAATAAATTAATTACTGAGCCAATTATATTATTTTAATTTATCGTCTTTACCTCGAGAGTGATTTCTCCTCTTTTATCGTGCATAAAAATATTTGTAATAGCACTGCTAATTCTCGATCTGACTGCCGGATATTTACTATCAAGATATGGTACCAATAGTCGTACTATGTTTTTACTATAATTGAAATAAGGATGCGTAGTGAGAAGTTCACAGAGCGCATTTATTCCTAGCTCACCAAGTTCTAGTTCTTGCTAAAATAAATAAAGTACTTCAACTTAGACATAATTGTATATAATAATTAAAATAAACTATACTGTATATACATTGTACATGAATTATATACATGAAATAGACAACAAAAATATGCCCATCGCTCATTGAAGGTGGGAGTAAGAAAAAATAATTAAAAATAATAACTACCTGTTGAACATAAATGAACAAAATAAATAAAAAAGGCTAGGTATTGTCGATAAAAATGAAGAGGAAGGAACCAAAGATGAATAATAAAAAGCAAATTAATAAATAATAAACTCCCAAGTGCAGGAGAGAAGTGGTATCCTAAAACCCCTGGATATCACAAAGAAATCTATTTTCCTAGCTTCAATCATTCATCAAAAAATTCAAAAATTCTGGAGCACGTCAATTTTTTTTGCACCTTTTATGAAAACCTCAAACTGAGCTGTGGAGCCAGGAAATCGTCCTGGAGCAACGCCCTTCAGCATTCGATAGGAAATTCAATAAATTTTCAATTGGTCATCTCCAACTTTGCCCAATTTCTCAATAGTTTTCTAGTTATTCTTGATTTTTGGGGGAAAAAACGTGGTTGTTATGTGCTCATGGAAAAAACCAATCACTCTCTCTCCTGTTGGAGATTTGTTATTTAAAAACCAGGTGGTCAGTTTTTATTTATTTTATTATTATTAATTTTTTTAAGCTAGCACTTTTTGTACAAAACCAACCCCCGTTTATATATGACCAACTTTGGTCCTGATTTGGCTCCTTCTTATCCCTGGCTTTCCTCTCCTCTCCCCCGGGTTACACAGTATTTTCCAAAGCTGGGGGCCTAAGAATTTTTTTAAACCATTTTTTTAAAGTTCAATGTTGTGTTTTAAATCACCTTTGTTCTGACACGAGTATCACCTTTTTTCTTAAATAACTTAGCTGCCGCTTTTTCCAGTTTGGTCAAATACCCTCGATAGCCTTTCAACAAACTTTTTTCAAACGTTTGTAGTTCTCTTGTCTCTTTCTTTACTAAAAACAACAGGAAAGTATTTTAAATAGTGTTCATCATTAAAGAAAAAAAAAAAATAATAAAAAAAATATATTAAAAATTACATTTGACATTCGATTCCTTATTGTCTTGATGTTTGATCTGGTATGATGGCAGAATATCCTTGAAAACTTCGAGCAATGAGACCATTACAAGTTTTTTCAGAGTGATTTGAAGCTCCGGATGCCAGTCATCATATACTTCCAACAGCCTTTGAATATTTAAAACCTTCAAAAGACAAAATTTCTATAATTACTGAATACCAAGAAAGAACAGTGAATTACCTTTTGCTCTGGGTTTTCCAACAATGCACTGGCTAAAATTCCAATTTTGAATTTGTACTGAGCTATAGACGATTCCCTCCATGCGAGCATTTCAGCGACACTGATCGGCTTTGACAGGTCTTTTTCATCCCGTTCAATTTCAAAATTATCATCATCTTCTTCTTCTTTTTTTACTTCTTCGGTCGTTTCTTCCTCTACCTTGCCTTTCTTTTTCTTCTTTCTACCTGCTTTTTCAGGCACATCTTTCACTGGATGAACAGGAAAAAATCAATTGTAAACGTAAAAAAACAAATAAATTTACTACTTTCAGGAGTGAAATAATAAGAACTGTCAAAAGTTTGGTTTTTGTGATTGTCCTGATAGCATTTGAATTAAATTTGCACATGTTAAATTAAGTTCAATGCTTTGAACAATCATGCTGACCCAGACAGCATAGGAAAAAGACTTTTACCTTCAACTTCAATTTCTCTTCTAATGAGGCCAGTCTTGGTTTTGATTGGCAAGAGCAACTTTTTCCTCATGTTGGGATCTCTCTCCTCGCTCTCCATCTCAAATTTGGTTTCAATGTCCAATGTTCCATTGTCGGCTTTTCTTTTCAATAACTTCCTTTCTCTGTGTGGGATAAAAAAAAATTTTATTTATGAATTAAACTAGTTATTAAGTTTATCAACCAAATTATCATGTAAAGGACTGTGTCCACTGGTAGTATAAGCATTAAAAAAAGTAACAAAGGTTCAGTTTGTTGGGGACAACGAATGATGTCTAACTTGTCTCTTGATCAAGTCGTATAAGTGTTCTATGGGATTGTTATCAGGAGAACGCGCTCTGGCCAATTCATTTTGGTAATCCATACATCCTCCAAGCAATGGGTGACAACCATTATCAAGCAATAACACAAAGTTAAGAAATGGAGCAACCCAAGCAATCACAGATTCTAGAAGAAATTCCTCATTGTACCTTAGTGCAATTAAAGATCTATTTTGTATGATAATCAGTTTGGTATGAGCTCAGACAGTGATTTCCCCCATGCCATAACTGTCTTTGAAAAGGCTGTCTAACGTATGGCACACGAAGCAAAGCATTCCACACTTAATCTTCGCAAACCATCCACATCAACTGATTGCCACAAACAAAACTGGCGCTCACCTAAGATGAAAACAGCCCCCCCCCATTGTTCAAGTGTTAAGCAAGATACTGATTTGCATTTGTGAATAGTCAGTTATCTTTCGATACCTCTCCCGTAATAGAGAACCTGATACAGGACATCTAGAGATTAAGCTATTCTTGCGAAGCCTTCTGACTGTTTTAGAGGTCACCGTTACATTGTGGTCCTACAGTCGAGTACCTACCAATGAAGTAGTTAAATGACGGTTCCATAGTGGGGAGCAATAAAAACCATCGTGGTCAACCACTCTGACCTCTTAGATTGAGACTTCCAGGGGTCATCCAGGGGATAGTACAGTGCGGCACACCCAAAACTTGGGCTATGTAACTGACGCTATGTCCATCGTTGGCCAAAGCATCTGCTGCTCTGTTGGGATTCAAACCTAGAACCACTAGCATGGCAAACAGAAGTCGGATACCCTAACCACCCAACCATCACAGTCGCTGACAGTTAGCTATGTCCACCAGCTATTATGCCATATCCAATTTCCATGTAAATACAATATTAACCACCAGATCAGATTGAAAAAGTGACGTTTGCTGACCACTTGTCTATACACTTTATTTTTTATTTGATTTACCCCCTTCAGTGTTAAAGCAGCTACTACCAAAAGGTAGATGTTATTATTTTGTGAAGTGTTGGGTTGTAATTAATTATGATTCTGTTATTTTTAGAGTAGTTGTGGCTATGTAATATTTGTTTGTACATCTGAATATTTTTTTTGATGAAAGGATTCATGACATATGATTCTGTAAAGTCGTGTTTATTATTGTGTGTAGGGGGTGGTGTGATGTATAATTGAAGTAGCAATCTGTGTTCATTGGTTTTTGGTACCAATCTGTAGGTAGTGTTGCCTCTGTTTGTCTTATTACAAGCGTTTCTAGGAACGGTATTTGGTTATCTATTTGGACTTCATGAATTGTATGTATTGTTCGTACTGTCAATAAACAGTTTTACATGTCTGAATATACTTCTAATATTGTACCTATTGAAATTCGGCCCCTGGAACATGGAATAGCTTCCTCTGACAACGGCATCCTTGAGGAATTCCAGGTCTTCGGGGTCGATCATAGATGCCATTTCCTTGCCGACGTCCTTCGGCGGTTCTTCATCTTCCATGAACTCTTCGGCTGAGGGCTGGGGCCGATGCTTCGACTTCACGGCGGTTTTTTTGTTCCTCTTGTGCCTCAGCTTGCCCTGCCTCCTCAGCTTCGTGTTCGCCTTGTTCGTCCTCTTCACCTTGCTCGTCTTGGCTTTCTACGGGAAAGAACGTCACTTGAGTCTGGGCAAACAGTTGAAAGCAAAATAAAAATACTTACGGCCATCTCGGGAGAGGAATTTGAAGAAAAGTAGCGGATGAAAGGTCACAAGGCAGAACCACGTGTTGTGACAGCGCTTCGGATCAGCAGATTGAAGAAGGTTTCATTCTCAGTTTCTCACGTTTAGTAAAGGATGGTTCTACTCATAGAATTAGGTTCACATTCTCAGTTTCTCACAGCTTTCATTCTCATGAAAATAACCAATTGTAACAAAACCCTTAACTTATGGAATAAATAATTTAATAAAATATTTTTGAATTATAAATTTTCACTTTTTGTGTTAAAATTTAATAAAATGATGATTCTNAATAATAATAAAACTAGACCTGACTATAAAACTTGAAACAAGCAAGAATTTCAATAAGAAAAATAATAATACAATAATAAAATAAACAAAACAATATTTATTATTATTATATAATTGTATATTTGTCAGGTCAACTCTGACTGGCGGAATGGAATAATTCAAAGCTGTAATTTTTTTTTATTTTTTTTAATTTTTTTTTTTTTGTATTGTACCTATTATTATTGTAATTATATAACATTATATTATATATATAAGTATATATAATAGTATGTACGATAATGGGTCATTGGGCCAGATCAGAAGAGAAGCTCTCACTTATCAACAACAGTGTTCGGAGGATCTGAGTCGTAGAAGAAGGGTCATCCTCGCCCGATTGAGAATAGGCCATGCGAGGGTGACACATGGACTCTTACTTTTGGAACAAAGCCTGCGTATGTGTCCGGCATGCAGACAAAGATGAGTTGTGTCTCACCTAATTGAAAGGTGCAATTCCTTGGCTCTAGACAGAGAGGCTCGGGAAGGCCACCCAATTTTAGAAGTGTGCTTGAGCAGTAATAACAGTTGTGCACACCTAGATTTTGTTGGGAGTGAATGTATTTATTAGAGTGAATGTATATATATATTAGTGTGAATGTCCTTATTTACATGAATGATTTACATTATATTATGTGATGGGCATGTCGATGAATATCGGGAACTCCATCACTCAATTAAGTTAGTTGTATAATATGTGTAAAAGGTGATGAAGAAATACCAAGTACCCACGGCCGGGTGAATGATATGTAAATAAGAGTGAATCTATTTAAAATGAACATGAGAATGAATAGGTTTGGAACTGCATGCGTTAGATGCTGAATTGACCTAGCTGTTAACAGCACCCTCCTCCCCCTGGAGCCCAATCCTGGTGGCTTGACGGATAAGACTGAGATCTGCTTCCAGGCTGCCAAGGCCCTTACTGGGTGATTATCGAGTCTGCTGGCAATTTACTGTAAATAGCAAAATCTGGATGCTGGTGGTCTATGAGAGTGAATAGGCTCAACTCAACACATGTTTGTACGTTGGCATGTACATGTACGGATTTAAGCCTAAATAAATTCAAATATAATCCAATAGAATAGTCTTACAAATTAGAGAGTTTTTGGGGAAGGTAGTCCATTTTATAAAAAAATTCATGAGTAATCAAAACTTTAGAGTAAGGGTAGGTAATTCGAATCCATTGGCTAATGGAATTTCTCAAGGCTGGGCTCTCAGTCCCATCATATTTGCTATGGCATTGTTATACCAGGTATGCAAGATGTAATATTTAGGTGCCATTTGAGAGCTATTGTATCAATGTTATGTACCTATGCACACTGATGAATCCTAGATAATCAAGGCTTAGTTTCAATGGTTGAATTTCTTCTACGATTATGTTATACATCCCAAAGCATTTTCTTCAGTGTACAAATGTGTCTCTCTGCTTTCTTAGAAAATCTACTGTCCCCTGTTGCATGAGAGAGAGTGTCCAGTTTTTTTGTCTTTGAGTACATATGTTTGATTAATAAATGTAATCAGAAAATGATTGTTCAAATTTGAGTAAAACAGAAATGATTAGTTAAATTTAACAATGCTAATGATCAATATCGTTAAAGATTTTAATGTTTTATTGCTTGCTGATGATCTAAAAATCTTGTATAAAATTAATACCATAGATGATGCGATTGTACTCCAAGAAAATTTACAAAAGTTTCTTTCATGCTGTTATAATAATGATTTGTTGAGTCTGAACACTGATAAGTTAAAATGCGATATTTGAACTTTAGCTGTTGGTCAAACAAGATACAGAGTTTTTTAATAATGTTAACTGAATCATGTAATTGTAATTGCCAGAATTATTGAACCTTGAAAAACGGATGTGGAAACATTTTGAAATATTAAGATTTAGATTATTATTTGGAGATCATGAGATGCGGTCTGGTGTGACGTAGGTTTTAGAAAAACATTTTCTTTATCGTGCCAACGTTTCGATTTTTATTGAGATCATCTTCAAGGCTCGAAGTGTTTGTTTTCTGTGTAGTTGTGTCATTACTGTGTGTCGTGTTGGGAGTGCCTTTTTTCTGTTTTGTTGTAAGGAATAGAATGTTTGGGACCAAATGATAGGAAGTTTTGGATTTTTGAAGGAATGTTACTTTCAACATGACACACAGTAATGACACATCTACACAGAAAACAAACACTTTGAGTCCTGAAGTTGATCTCAATAAAGATCAAAACGTTGGCACGATAAAGAAAATATTTTTCTAAATCCTACGTCACACCAGACCCCATCTCACGATCTTCAAATAATCATTAACTAACGGTCACTAGACACCACACATTTAGATTATTTAACCACCAAGAGTGAAGAAATTTTAAATTGTTTTGGAGGATTAAGTGGTCTGAAAAAGAAAAAAACATGTTTAAAGATTTTTAGATCATCAGTAAAGAGAAGGAAATTGTTCTCATTAAACGCAAATGTCGTTTATAAAAAAAGAAACAACAGAGGCCCTAAGAGAGTGCCCTGAGAAACTCCTGAAGTAACAGTAACTCTAAAAGAGTAAGAAAAATTAACTTTGACTGTTTGGAATCTATTTTCCAGATAAGAGCGAAACTAACAGAGAAGACTGTAAAAGTATGTTACTATTAATTTAGTTAACAATTTCAAAACATGATAACACCCTTAGATAAATATTAAATTAAACATTCTTTAGACAAGTTGACAATACAACAGAAATGTAACATTTATAAATATTTAAGCGTGAATTTTGATAAATATTGGTTTGAAAAGTGCGAAATGGGAGTCAAACCATTTTCTTTATACGCATGCATAAGTGTCATCGGCATGTACGATTTGTGTTGTATTGGTATTTTAAATATTCCAAATTATTATTTTTGCCTATGTAATTCATTTTAAAAAGAAAAAATTTAAAATAAGCAATAACAATACAAAGGATATCGAGGAAATTTAGCATGTCTGCTTAGTTTGCTGATTGTGCCAGCACGTTTACACAGCTGCGGGCTTTTCCCAAACCAACCAGTAAACAAAAAGATATCGGTTAATAGACAATGGGTCGGGAATATTCTTCGGAAATGTTTTCTATTTAATTCTTAACGTTTGGCCCAAAGTTTTTTGTACAATTTGATAGACTATTGTTAGCGTTTGTAAAGAGGGGTTTGCCAGCGGCCCTTTTATTTCTCTGGAAGAAAATGGATTATTCATGAAAAGGTAGTTTTAAGTGGGCGTCGAATCTTGCCTTGTGGAAAATGTTTTTCAACTTCGGTTTTTCTTCTATTTTCCACCTGCCAGGTCATTGGTATGATGTTGAACGTCTCGTCGAAGAGCACGGACGGATGTGGAATCGAGGCTAAAACGAGACCGATTAAATTTCTCGCCAATCTTTTCAAGAGGAAGAAAGGGCCGAAAGACGAAACCTGTGATGAAATGGACAAGAGTGGCCAATCTGGTGAGTATTAAATACGTTTCACTGCTTCCACTTTTATTTGAGACCCTTTGGAAGTAGCATTGAGCTTTAAAAAGCTCACTTTGGTCTGTGACAAACTCAACGAGAATGTACAATCAATGTTTACATGAACGACATTTTTTTAAATGGCCTTAGCCAGAGATTCCGTTGATTATTTCATAATAAATGGTTGGGGGGAAGGGTTGCGTGAAAAAAGAGGCTAAAGATGACGGTGGGATTCAAACCCACAACTGCAGGGCCTACGAGTTGAGAGCCTATCATGCTGACCATTCATCTACCGCGGTCCTAATGAACGACACTTCAAAGAATGTATGATGTGCAATGGTTGAATCCTTCCAGGCTGGTGAAAATTATCAGTGAAGTGGGAACATGTGAATCGTGAAATATATTGTTCCAAGCTTTTAACAATTTGGAGATCTTGAGATGCGATCTGGTGTGAGAGTGCCAGTCAACACGACACACAAGAATGACACATCTACATCATGATAAAAACGTTGGCACGTTAAAGAAAATGTTTAATCCTTTTTAAAAAGATAGTTCGTACAAACAGTAAGTTGCTTTCAAGATTCGGATTTCGAGTCCTTAGCTCATCATCAGATTGAAGGTTCATCATTTCTAAGAAAATGTTTTTTTAAATCTACGTCAAACCAGACCACATCTTGCAATCTCCAAATAATCATTAACTAACGGTCACTAAATACCACACACTTTTAACAAACCTGACCACTGATTACACGAACAACTCTAAATCTGGGTTTCCACTGCACGAAATTCATTCCCACAACTGTTTCGCGAAACTTGTCTCTTGAAAAGCTGTCTTTCATTTCCATGAGGTGAAACAAGGTGAGCATCTACACAACTACACCAATTGCTGCATCAACGTTAATGCAATTTATTTTAAAAAGAAAAACCAACGAGGAAAACGTCGGTGGTGGGTCAAAGAATTATTTCATTGATGAAGGCAATATGGGAACCGGCTTCTGAGGGATATAGCAGTAGAACACATCAATGATACTATTAGAAACTTTACCCAGATGACTACCTAAGACTTTCAATATTTCTTGCCTTCTTGTGAGACCCCCTTTTGAGTTTTCATGTTTGCTTTAAGAGTACTGACAGTTTGTCCCATCCCTCTCTTGTTCTGATGAGTTTTATCTTTAGTATCCCAAAAAAATCAGTAGTTCAGGAATCGGTGGCCGAAATGGTTTAGGCATTGACACTGCGCTTATCTCTGTAAGGTAAAGGTCTGAGGTTGAAGTCCAACCTCTAACCATGCATTAGAACCTGATGTACTTATAAATGGCTTTTTTTTTTGATAAGTTGAATGCACTCCTTGTTCATTCTCATACTGGAGACAAGAGCGTTTACATGGAACGGGGAGAATAAAAAAAAAAAAAAAAAAAAAATGAAACATTGATGCACATTAAAAAACCGACAACTCTTTGGCTCACCCCGAAACATCCTTACGCCAAAAGTTTTGCAGTTCAGTTAGGTCTCCACAACATGAGACAAATTTCATGAAACATTAAATTCACTAATTTCGTGGTCCGCTTGACCAATTAATATATTATAATTAATTAAAGTTTTTAGTTGAGATAAAAAAGTCAATGGCACGAGCTGGATTCGAACCCACGATCTTCGGCTAGATACGCCGCTGAAGCTTGAGCTATCGTGACCACCTCTTGAAACATGGCAAAAAGGAGGGAAAATTCAAAACGTGGGGTTGAGATAGGAAGTTGGTGTCCGAGCGGATCAAGGTCACGATAGCTCAAGTGGTAGAGCAGCGGTGTATTGAGCCGAAGATCGTGGGTTCGAATCCCGCTCGTGCCATTGACTTTTTTATCTCAACTAAAAACCTTAATTAATTTCATGAAACAGTTTCACAAATGATTTTCATGCAGTGGAAACCCAGCTTGAAAAAAGAGAGAGAGAAAAAAAGGACAAATCTTCAATTCAGTACAAGATAAAATTGTTCTTCATTTTTGAAAATTCTTATTTCAAACCCTTCTTGAATGGGCACTCCTTTATAATGGACAATGGAGTGATTACTAATAATTTAAATTTTTACTAATAATTTATTTAAATCTGTTTCAGTGAACGTTGTGAGAATCCCGTCAACTTTATCAGTCAGAGATATATTAGTTTCGGCTTATCCGACCTCCCCTGCCCTTTCGACTCCGGCTAGAACCAGAGACATCGATACTGATATGGAAACACTTAGAATATCGAGGCACGACAATCCATTTCTTAAGGTAGACACCCGCGTTTAACATCAACTCCCGTAATCTATCGAAATTTTGAAAATTTTCAGCAAGTTTTAGCCAGTAGGGAAAGCCTAGCCGACAGTCTCGAAGAGTCTGAGTCAGACGACATAAATTTAATGTCTCAGGAATTTCTGAATGAGCTTGAAACAGACCCGTTGAGCTTGCCAGAGGTGCACGAACATATGATTAGGTCACCACCCCCTACATCGTGGTCAAGATCCCCGAATTATAAAATGTTTAGATTTCCCGATGAATCTTCTTCCACGCATGAAACGGTTGGACGGAAAAGCCCCCTCTCTAGGTGTGTTTCTCCGAGGCAGGAGTCCAAAGACATCAGCCACGGTAATTTAACTCTCTTTATTAAAACATATTCAGTTTTTATGGCAGTTTAATCCAGTCTGATCCTATTTAAATTGTTGTTATTTATTTTTGTTTATTTTTTAGAAGACATTGTGACAAAGTCGATAAACACAATTCTATCACCAAGGTTTGCTCTTCCAAATCGCCCGCACCAAAGATCAAACAGTGATATAAGAGGTAAGAAGAAATCCAATCGTGACGGTTTCTTCAAAATATTTTTAATGAAGCTGTTTAAAACAATTTTAAAGGATATTAAATCATTGAAAGCTTAAAAAGAATTTTCCATAAATTGAAACGTCTTGTTTTTGTTTTAATTGAAATTTTCAGAAAGGAATTTCACACTTCTGACACCTGCACCTCTCAGATCATTGACGGACGTACGTCGTCTCAATACGAGGTCGGCTGAGGACAGCCAGCACCTGGTGGCATTGGATAAAAATTAATTTTTTTTTTGGGTGAGAGGTTTTAGGGTTGGAGTAAAAATCAGAAACTAGGCCTACTTCCCCAGTCTTATATCTTTAAAATGCACAAACTATTTTTTTTCTCTTTTCATTTTTAATCGGTTCTAGTCACATTTGTGCCATTTATTGAGAAAAAAATCTCCTTTTTACTTGTTTTTGTATTATAATTAGAAGGCATTCAAAGCTTTTAGAACTGAGAGAAGGTGAAATCATAGGCTTTCTTAAATACATTGTATTATTTTAAACATTTCACAGGACAAAGTAGGTAAATTGAGTAAAGCCAGCATCTCTAGTTTAATATTATTAATCCCCTTAACTGAAGCATTGTTTACTTAATTGTTGAGAATTTCCATTGTGACTGTATCAGTCACAACTAGAAATAATTATAGTTTTTGTCGACTTTATTTTGCTGTGAGTAGAATTAATCATTCTCAATTGATGACAAAAGTAGCATTGGAATTTATGGCAATTACCATAATAAATTACACGAATTAAATTAAGTAGAAAACATCCACTCCCCAAGTTTAAAAAATAAATTGTAAATTCAAAAATAATATTCTGGTTGTAATTGTAAAAGATCGACATGATTTCTTAATTCATCTGCGAATAAAATCTATACAAAATTTCACTCTAATAAATTTAAATTTCATTGTTTATTGCTAAACTTATATAAAAAGAACTATTTCACTGACTGCTTTCAATTTGAAATTATTAGAATAACATTGACAGGAGGATGTACAACGCTACATTCATGAAACACTCGTATTTTTGGCTTAAATTTTCTTCTTGACATACAAAAATAAAACCAATCAACTGATCGCTTTTAAATATATTATCAATTAGGCTAGACTTGTTCCTTTCAACCCGCTTAGCCGTTGTAACATTTTTATCAACAATTTTTTTTATTCAAAATTGATCAATTTAATCTATAATTTTTATGCACATATTTACAAAACTTTCTTTTTTGAAAATATGTTGCTAGTTGAAACATATAAACCTGCGCAAGCAATTATTATTTTTGTCTCGAGGCTTGTCCCTTCTTCTTTTCGTACAAGACATACCACATTACAAATGTTAACGGCAGCAACGACAATAGTTCAATGAAAATTTAATTGATTTGAAATTTAATAAGTTTTTGAAAAAAAAAAAAAATTGTTTAGGAATCGGATAACCATGTTAAATACTGTTGTTAGTTGAGAAGAGCATCTTTGGACTAGTCCTAAAACTGTGATGTTTTTTTAATTTTTTATTATTATTATTTAGTATTGCTTTAAGAAAGTGAGGAAATGTTTTTATGCGCTTTATAAAAATATGTAATGTCACCCTGCAAAGTTGCTCTATGAAATATTTTAAAATTTTCCTTGTAATTTACAATTATATTGTTATATAACTTATATTTGCCATTTTTTTCCCCTAGTGTCATAATTGTTATCTATGCACGTAAAATTTGAAAGTTGACATTGCTTTTCTTTATAACGTGCATCTCTTTGTTGAGAGCAATGCTTTCAAAATTTCATCGCCTTTTTAAGAATTATAATATTTTTGTAGAGCATTTTTGCATTTATTTATTTGTTAAATTATTATTATTTTTTATTACTAGGAAAGAATGTCATAAAACCGAGTCAGAACATTCCTGTTTATTTGTGATATATTATTATTTGTATTTTACACAAATATTTTGTTAATTTAAACAATTGAATTGTTTAGTTTCTTCCAATTTTACAGATATTTATGTAATTCATTAATTGTTGATGGACTGTTATTGCTTTTTGAATGATAAACACTAATGTTTATCAGATCCCACCAAAGGTTAATTAATTTTTATATCGATCTCGTCGCTTGCCTTATTGTGATGAAAAAAAAAAAATCCAAGTATTGTATGCGGGTCATATAATGGTTGCTGTAATTTTTATTTAAAAAAAGAAAAGAAAAAAAAGACAAAATGAGAATAACATTGTTATTTGTTTGTAGGAAAGAAAACAATGTGATATTATTTTAAATATTTAAATACTGAAATTTTGTTAGATAACTTGTTGTGAATAAATTAATTTTTTGCGCCTACTTTAGGTAAGAGACTCGTCGGTCTAAAAATACATATATTAAAAAAAACAAAAAATTAGGCACCAAATAGAAAATATTTTTGAATTTGTATATAAAATTTATGAAGTGAAAATTTCATTAAACTTAAAATTGATTGTAGTAGAAATGTATTGCAAGCCTTAATGCACATTTTATTTTTTAAATGTTCGATAACTTATTTTGATATTAGATGTAACTATTCCAAATGAGCAGCCTTGTTTAAAATATTAAAACTGTTTTCTTTTTTTATTTGCCACAACAATAAAGTATTTTTTGTGTTTCTATTTGTTGTTACTGCCCTTGCAAATGAAATCTGTTGTCGTTCTTGATTTTTCTAAAGCCTTTATGCTATAAACTTTTTTCCCAATTCCCTTTCCTTCTCTCACAGTGTTCTTCGATGGTGTCATTCCTTACTCTCAAAACACTTGCGAATTATTCCTAATCCCAGACAAGCCCCTTTCTCCCCTGCTTACGGTCTCTCCAGCATATATCTGTATTGCATCGTTAGTGTCTTTTCAGGAGTTGACAACCTGAGGTACAACTGAAAGGCTAACATTTCAGGATTTCATCTTAGTTTTCATATAAAAACAGAGTCAGTAACAGATTGTTCAAATGGCTGCAGGTTGAAAAATACTAATCAAAATGCACTAATTTCGTGGTCCGCTTGACCAATAATTATAATTATAATTAATATTATAANGATACGCCGCTGCTCTACCACTTGAGCTATCATGACCTCGATCCACTCAGACACCAACTTCCCATCTCAACTGCACCTTTTGAATTTTCCCTCCTTTTTGCCAATGCTTTTGAAAAATGGCAAAAAGGAGTGTATCAAGCCGAAGATCGTGGGTTCGAATCCCGCTCGTGCCATTGACTTTTTTATCTCAACTAAAAACCTTAATTAATTACTAATCAAAATACTAGAAAAATAAGTACAAACATGCAGAGGGTCAGAGATAACCTCAACTGTTTGTCATCTCTTCCCTCTTATCTAATTTAGTACATTTTATTTATTTTTATGCTATTATATTTAATTTTTTATTTGTATATTCATTTTGACACAAATGATGCCAAATTTGGTCTTTTTTTTGTTATTCAAGGTAGCCCAAAGCTTCAGAATAAAATTCATGTTGTTTTTCTTCTTAAATCTGAAATAATCAGAAAAAAGGAAGACATGCACTAAATGTTATATTTAAAACATATTTATTATGGCAAAGGAATACAATATTATAGTATTCATATTATTTACAAAGTTTACAACTTAAAAGTTAATCAATAAATAAATTATTAGACTAATACTCTAATCGTCAGGTAAGATACCTACTTAATTATTTTTATAGTAATACTACATTGTTACATTTGTCCTAAAACAGGAAGTTGATTTCAGTTGAAGCTGTCTTCTGTTGTCTCTCGTGAAGACAATTTCAAAGGCAGTCGCAAACATTTTCCGAGACTCCCTTCAAACTGATCGTCGAAGCAAAGAAATTTCAGACTTTGGCACCCTCGGGAATTACAAGATACAATATTTACACGACTCCAGAACGACTTTTGAGCAATAGCGAACAATAATTATTAGTAAGAATCTTGATGAAAAAATTGATTATATCTCAGTCCTTTGTGTTCATCTTATCGTACTGAATGTAAGTTTAGAATTTCGTAAACTGCTCGCCGATCCGAGATACGTGACAGATGCAGGTACCTCGCTTACGATGGGATCCTGGAAATAAAAAAATTATATAAAACACATTTTCGAAATATTGACAAGTAATGGTGAATGAAAAATAAAATGATCAATTGAGAAAATGGTAAAAGAGAAGTAGAAAGAGTATTAAAACTGCTGGAGGTTATAAGAAGTACCAGAAATAATAAATTCAGATATGAATAATCAGATTAGATTGTATAGGTATTATACATGGGTGTTAATCATGCCTTTATATAAACAAATAACAAGCAAATATACAGTAGTTTTTTTTAATTGGTTAGATTTCTCGCTGGTTGTCCATCACAGACCAGCACAGAACAAACCTGACACTGCGGTTGACGAATCAAGTACAGAATCTTCTCTTTTACAATCGTCCTCTTATATTTAAACAAAATCATCTTCTGAACGCGATGCTGAGCAATTTACTTACCTCTGGAGATCCTTTTTGGATGGTTTTATCTGTGGTTTCAGTTATTGACTCTGGGGTGACAATGTCAACTGGAACAGAATTACATACTGTTTAGCTTAAACATTTATTGAAATTTAAAATTAAAAAAGTTAAGTTTTTAATGAGAAGTCAACAGACCACGGTATTGCATGGGAATGTTCTTAAGTACATCGTTAACATCGATGGGTTGGTCATGTCCATCGTGTATCAAAAGTCTTGGTTTCCTAGTTTATGCACCAAAAAGGAATGGGAAAGAAAGGGAAATAACTCCCTCAAAAATGGCACCATCCTTTGGTACACAGATGGATCTAGAACACAGGAAGGTACGGGGGCAGGAGTGTTTGGACCCGGAACCAAATACTCAGAACCCATGGGAAAGCACACCAGTATCTTCCAAGCTGAAATTCATGCAATTGAAAGATGTATCCAATTCAATCTAAATAAAGGATACAAAAACAAGAATATAGCTATCATGTCAGATAGCCAAGCAGCCATCAAAGCACTAAGCTCAAATACCATTAGTTCAAGGATGGTGCTGAACTGCAAAACCAAATTAAATACATTAGGCTCGCAGAATAAAGTCAGCCTCTGCTGGGTCCCAGGACACATGGGAGTAGAAGGTAATGAGGAAGCGGACACCCTGGCAAGAAAAGGGGCTGCCACACCGCTAATAGGACCTGAACCCTTCTGTGGAATAGGAACACACACTATCAACGAATACCTCAGACAGAAGGATAAAAAGAGAATGAGCGAACTTTGGAACTCACTTATTGGACACAGACAATCCAAGAATTTTCTAACCAACTTTGGCAAGAAAGAAATCACAGAATGTGTCAAAGGAAGCAGGAACAGACTGCGAATCCTAACAGGATTCCTGACAGGACACTGTAGATTAAATGGACATTTAAAGAAAATTGGAATAATCCAAGATGGCACATGTAGATTCTGCAAAGAAGCAGAAGAGACACCAACACACTTACTAACAAACTGCGGAGCTACACTAGCCCGCAGGAGGAAGTGTTTTGGGATGTACAATGTGACCATAAAAGAACTACAACCACTGAAACCGGGCCTATTAATCAAGTTTCTTGATGAAATAGGACTCACCGATGTGCTTTAAGCAGAGCACAGGGGATACAATAGCTCTTAAAGGGCGCAGTATACCATACCCTACATCTACATCTACATCATCTTCCTAGTTTATCGTTCGTTTTCGTCCGTACTCTTTACAGATTCATAAAGAAAGTGTACTAACAGTAGGGAGGATGGGGTTTGAGAATTTATCGGTGCATTGTGGCATTATTATTGTATTAAATAAGGTGTGTGAATCGGGATTCGTTTGTTAATTAGCAATGGGTTGAGCATTGTTGATTGCCTACGGAAAAGCCGGACATCGTTAATTTTATGCGTTGAACATTAAAAACTGAAGAAATCACACAAAGAATTTCCTTGATCCGTTTAACTGTATAAATTGGGTCAATAAAAGAACCTAAGCGCTTTATAACTATGCCCATGCTAATTTATTTGGTGGTGTCTTTCTGTTGTTTAAGATACGCATTTTTCTTCCTCAGTTTGGTTCGTTAAAGCTGGAATTTAAGCGATTCGACTAATTTTGCTCAAGTGATTTTAGCCAATAATATCAATTTTATTGCTAATTGAATTTTTTACGAGAGTACATGACTTAGAGGTAGTACAGAGTATAAGGAGGGTTACGCTTTCCTCTGGGTCCGATGTATTGTTGTCCCTCTAGAATTTTTCTTTTTCTAAAAATCGAAATATATTTGTAAACGCACCTTTGGATGTCGAACCGTCGATGATGATATCTCTGGTAACTCTTTGCCCGTTGTCCGGAGAGGTGGTCGGCTTCGACTCGGCCAGCGAGTTATTTTCCGCTCCTGTTGGAAAATAGGCTTGTGGAGTCACAACGTAGACTTTTTCGTTGGTATGCGGGGAAATCGAGACTTCAAGTTTCTCCCATGGCTTGACGGTTGTCGTTCGGCTGTTTTCCGTTGTCACGACGGTGTCGACGAGAGACCAACCGCTCACTTCTTCGATTATTTTCGTATCGTTTTCCGGGAGGACTGTATTTGTCGTTTTCGAGTCGATGCGGACCTCCTGGTGATCATGACTGTAGTGCTGGCTGGCGGCGGCTTCGTGATCCGATTCCGGCATCAGTTGGTCCGTAGGTTTGGGCGTCGTAAGATAATCGTCAGGTATCTGCTTGGATATCTGATGGAGGACCGTGTCTCGTTTTCCGTATCCTTCGGCCGTCCATTTATCGATGTTTTTCTGGAGCCTGGCAAAATCGACCGTGTCTTCTTCTCCATGGAGGAGGGCTCTTATATCGGACGCAAGAACCTGTTGGAGACGGCCTTTCTCCGAATCTTCCGGCAACTTTATTCCCATTTGTAGTAGATGGTTCATGATGTCGGGTGGGAGCGAGTTCAGGAGGTCGGAGTCCGTCCCTAGCAGAGTGTCGTGATGTTCCGAACCAGTCGCAGTTAGTGGATAGTTTATGTTTGTTATTCCTCCTTCAGGAGCGGTGACGCCCCTGTTTAAATAAATGGCTTGGACGTCCGGGTAAGCCACTGGATCCGAAGGCACTTTTCTGGCCAACGGTGGATTATCTTGCGTCGAATAAGGAACTATTATTTGGTGTATTTTCGTGCGATTGGGTTTTGCCTCGGGCGAAGGCTGGTTGAAAGGCCTCGGAGTAGCGATCCAAGTTGTACTCGAGCTCGCGGCGGTGTGGGCCCGGTCGGCGTGTGGGTTCGTCTCGTAAATCGTGCTATTTTCTTCCCGTTGGTGGAAAACGGGTTGTTGGACACCTTGGAACCCGGTCTGTCTTTGAAAGTGATTGTGGGTGACGGAAGCCGGCTGTGGAGTTGTAAAAGATGCGGGAGCCTGTGTGTCGGCTTGGTAATTCTTGTTTTGTCTTTCTCCGTGGTTGAAGGAATGGTATCCGAAATCGAAATATTTCGGAAGGTCCGGTACGTCCAAAATGGGCGCTTGGACTATCTGCATAGGATATTCGACGGACGAAAGATATTCTCTGATGGGAACACTCTTAGCGACTTCGACTTCATTTTTCGGTGTCACGATTACGACACCCGGAGCAGGAGAAGACGCTAGGTTGGTTGCTTCGTGAGCGGAGTCGCTCAAGGGGACGTTCGCGAAATTGGCGACTATGTTCTTAGCCTCTTCCGGCCCAGTCACGTAGTGATCGTTGGCATGGACTTGAGAAAGATCGGGGCCTGTCGGAGGACATTTGCTGCAAGAATTTTGGCCGGCAGTTACTGGGTAAGCGAAGTTATGCTGTTGGTTCGAGTTATGTTCTACGTTGACAGGGCTGGGAGTCGGATTCTGGAGCGTGTGGTAATTCAGTGACTGATAGGCTTCGGACGGGTGCGCCGGAGGTGGTGAAAGGAATTGTCGATAACTTAGGGAGGAAGGTACGCTGGGATGCGAAGTCGGAGGAGGAGGTGGAGGACGAGCTGCAGGCTGATGTTCTAAGCCGGTCGGGGGAACGGGTGGACTGTGCACGGGCTTAGGGACGAACATAGGCTTCGGTGGCAAATAAGTGAATCTCGGAGGATGTTGCCTGTACTTCGGAGGGGGCGGGAGATAACCCGGATGTTTCGCAGGTCCGTGCGGATGGATCAACTTGAACGAATGGGGGTGCCCTTGAAAATTGTTGGGAACGCCGAACGACGGCTTAGGACCGCTGTCTGCAGAATGAGAATCCCAACCGTGATTGCTATCAGCTTTCGGTGGTTGTAAACCGAGGTCAAAACTGGAATGATGTAGATGATCATGCACTAAATCTTGCTTCGGAGGTCCGTAATCCGAAGACGGTGGACTGTTCTGTCCTTCCGGAGGCCCATATTCAGGTTTCGGAGGACCGTATTCGGGTTTAGGAGGGCCATATTCAAGTTTGGGAGGGCCGAAATCAAGTGTAGGAGGAGGGCCATATTCTGGTTTCGGAGGACCGTATTCAGGTTTAGGAGGGCCATATTCAGGTTTAGGGGGGCCGTATTCGGGTTTAGGAGGGATGAATTCATGTTTTGGAGGACCGAAATCAAGTGTAGGAGGAGGGCCATATTCAGGTTTCGGAGGACCATATGCTGGTTTAGGAGGGCCATATTCAGGTTTGGGAGGGCCATATTCAGGTTTGGGAGGGCCATATTCAGGTTTGGGAGGCCCATATTCAGGTTTGGGAGGCCCGTATTCAAGTTTAGGAGGCCCATATTCAGGTTTAGGAGGGCCGTATGCTGGTTTTGGGGGTCCGTAAGCTGGTTTTGGTGGACCATAGTGGGGTTTAGGGGGGCCCAACTGGTTGTGTGGATACGCATTAACTCCAATTGTAGGTATCTGAAGTGAATAAAGGTGGGAGTCACCGACGGGAGCTTGCGGAAAATGACCGACGGCCCTTGCAATCGGGAGCCAGGGTACACTGTTGCAAGGGCTGCAATGCGGTTTTTGCCGTTTTCCGCCGTCCGCCCAAACCCCCCTCGGCTCGGTGGCGCTCGTTTCCGCTTTCCCCCTGGCTTCAGGTTTTGCTTGATTTACTTCTACATGACTAGCTCCCGGCCAAAACCAACTTGCAATTTTTTGAGTGAAAGACAGGAGCCCGTTTCCATCCGTCGGCTGTTGAACGGTGCCGTGTTGCGGCGTGGGGCTCCTCGGTGGACGCTCGTTGGTCTGCTTCGGAGGCGTCAGATGGGCGACCGGCACCGGTTCCACGTTCCCCTGGGAAACCAGCGGCCCCATCAAAAGGCAGATCTGAAACAAAAACGACAAAATATAAAACGAAAGTCAAAAATAAAACGACGGACAGACAGTGAATTTAATGCTCTGTTTACCAGAAATTCATTGTAAGGGATCGACTATTGTCACTTTGATCTTTACACGGGGTATTTCACATATAATGGTAATGATCGGGGAGGAAGTAGAGAAAGCCCCGGGGAGAGAAGAAGAGTTGGGAACGTCCCATGGGAAGCCAAGTTCCCACGAAATCTCCACTCAACGGAAGTGGATCTCAATATTAAACGCAAAACAGTTTGTTTCACTTTGATTGCTAGAACAATACTTGCTTTTTACAAAAATTTAAAATCATTAAAGAAACAGGGGGTTAAATCGTGTTTTGCGTTGCATTTATCATTCCTTGTTTATCATCTTGGTCTGCCTGTCCTCGGTCAGCCGCGACTTGTGATATCTCGTATTCCGACCACAACCGTTCCCATGGCGCGGAAAGGCCCGTGACTTCGCAAATCTTCGAGCAGCCACTGATCACCGGTCGCGTAAATTTTTTTAATGAAGTAGTTTAGATTTAAAGATCAATGCTTGTTCAGTGTTCTATTATGTTTTATAGATGTTGAAAAATGAATTCGGTAGAAAAATAAAACGGTGTAACTGCAAGAAACTACAACTGATCGTGGGAATGGGTGCTCAAGCCGTACTGACGCTTGTCATCTTTTGAGCCCAAACTCGCATATTAACAAGTCTTTAGGTTCTCACGGCGTGATGTGTGATAAACTTAAGACCAGGCTCGTCAGGTCACACAAGGCTTAAAACAGCGAGGACAGGCGGACCAGGTTGATCTAAAACGATTAAACAACAGTCACCACCCGCAGACCTCAATGAAACGCTAATTGTTTATGGGGCTATATCTACTGAACTTTCTTTTCACGTTATTTAAACTTGGAGAAATCTATTAGATTAGTTTACGGTGGCACAAATCAATAAAGTAAATTAAAAAGATTACTGTTGATGCAAAGTTAGAGGTCAGTTTTCCCTTTTTGTTATTAACCGTGCAGAATGTAAACCCAAACGAGATACAATCGTTCAAAGGAACATCACGAGTGAATCAATAATGCATAGAATTACCGATTCCTTGCTTGTTGATCGTGGATGTTTTCTTCGAATCACATCAACTTTAAAGCTGTTATTTATTCGATTATAATAATGGCGTATTCACACCTCGTATATGAAAAAGTGTTTTGACCTACTGGGCCCGTTTGAATCCTCGCGATCTTGTTGCACATATTATCGAACAATGAAGCTTCTCTCAAGTCCCACGGTTCACTTGTACTTTCTAACCCTTTCCTATCAGTTTTAATTAAACATACATTTTTACCCATTTTGCTCATTCATTCTCATTTTTCCTACACACACTTTCGTTGTCGATCCAGCCACGTGTTATAATTAGACAAGGCAACGATATTTCTTCAAACTTTGGCTCATCTAGATCTTGATCAACTCGTTATTTATAAGAATCATCATCTTTATAAAAGATAGGACTTATTTATTTTGTAACGTTTATAATCGGGTAATAAATAAAAACAGCTCAGCATAGAGATGTTGTAGTCGTCGTCTGACCTATTGCACTTCTTGCACTTCATTACTACGATGCTTTCTTGTTTTATAAGGCTGCACGTACAATATGAGCATTTTGACTTTCTACACCAAATTTGATGAGATCGAAAAGGCTGGAAAATTATTGAAAGTTCCTGTACAAATAAGATAGACAAAGCCTGTAATCCACACCACTCCTTTAGACTTTCTTCGATCAAGTTTGTATGCTTTTTTTTTAAAGTAAAAATAATTAATAATTTACTAAACGAAGGCTGAGGGTAAAATTCACTGGTTTTGACATATAGAGGTAGTAAGTACTAATTACTCTTAGTAGTTATGGAGAATCTGATATCAGCGACAGCCCATTTCCCACAGCGTTTTCTCCCCGATCGGAGCTAAGATTTTGAGCATTTTTCGTTGTAAAACTTTCAAAGAAAAAACGAACAATTACTAAGAAATATTGTATCATGTTAAATGATTAATTTTTCTAGGACAAGAAATCGTATTTTATGGAAGATAGATATTTGTTAAAATATCTTGTCTTTCGGTTGGTCGTTTAAGATCATCCCTGTGCGCTTATCCTCGCTGGTTTGGATTGTCGTTATATCTCCATACATTTTCTGTGTCTGGATCTGTCTTTTTGTCATAGGTAACTTTAACAGAAGTTAACGAAACGCGTCACATAACCTTTTTGAATTTTTATGCAGGTGTACGTAACGTAAAAATGTACGCAGGTAAATAAGGCAAAAGGCACAGACTCAGCAAAAAAACCTGTAGCTCGTTCGTTTCTGATAAATACTGGTCCGCCTGTCTTCGCTGGTTTGGCCTATGCGACTCATAAGTCACTTTTCCATTTGTGTTTTTTCTTTCAGTTTGTCAAAAATAACACACAGACACACCCAAATTGAAATGCCGAAACTCGTAAAAAGGTAATACACATCATTCTTTGTATAGAATTATTTCTTTCTGAGGTTTCTTCTTTAGGTCATTGAGATGATAAACCTGTATTTTGGCCGTTTCCTGTAATATTGGCCCACTTATCCTCGCTGTTGTCAAAAGAAAACAAAACAAAATAACACGAAAAACAACAGGTGAAGATGGCGTAATGCAGAAACGCGCCCGAAAATCCAAAACTAGGAGGATAAAAGGACCAGGATGATGGTAGATGGCAAAACTACACACGATTCTTCAGCTTATTCAGTTTTTCGAGAGGTATATATGATGTAAAAGTCAGAGAAGGTAAATAAGACAAAAACAAGACAAAACGCACGGACACTTGTAGCCGTTTGCGAAAGACCATCACCTCAGCAGAATGGCCGCCAAATCTCCAAAAGCTAGTCTGTGATATCAAATCTTTTGGAGCACTAAAAGACTTTGCCTCAAATACGCTTAAATGAACAAGTCCCTATTTATTCTAATTATTAAGTCCTAAATATTGTTATTATTGTTAGAGTTTTATTACCGTTATTTATTTATTTATTGCATAATTAAACATAGGTTTAGGTTTAGGGTTCCGGGCTGTTTTCCTCTTCTTAGTAAGAAAATTTTAGATAATATAAATAGATAGAAAATAAAACCAAGGAAAAGTAAATGTGCAATGGGAAACCAGCAAGGGAAGACCTTTTGTTTTATGTTCTAAAATAGCCTGACGGAAAGATCGTTGGGAGGTATTTTTATCCCATTTATTTGAAATCCCTTAGATATACAAATTCGATTAAGCTAACGCGTTTGTCCGCCGGTATGGGGTCTTCCTTAGGTACGGCGGGATGGTGGAAAGGGTAAAAAAAGAAAAAAAAGGACACTTGTAGCCTATTTGTTTCTGATAAATACTGGTCCGCCTGTCTTCGCTGGTTTGGCCTATGCGGCTCATAAGTCACTTTTTCATTTGTGTTTCTACTTTCAGTTTGTCAAAAATAACACATAGACACACCCAAATTGAAATGCCGAAACTCGTAACAAGGCCAAAAACAGCGAGGACGGGCGGACCAGGATGATCCTAAACCACATGTTCATCACCCCTTAGATTCCTAGAAAAAATTTCACAACGGTGCCTTTCGTTTCAAAGCACTTTTGAACTGTAAACGCTTTGCAAGGATATTTAATTGTCTATTAAACCAGGTACTAGGTTCAGGAACCTGCTTCCAGTTTTCACGCCAGCGTGACTTGAATCTATTTAAAAGTTATCAATATGATTCTCGAATACGAATTTAATGTTTTGAAGTTCGTTTAAAAAACTCATAACCGATGCAAGTTACGATTGTGGGTTATTTAACCGAGTGCGCTCTTTGAATCAGTAAACTACACTACTATGTATCTCAAGGTATATAGTTTATTATTAAAAAAAGTTAATTTTATAATGTTGATTTATACCCATATGGACAATAAATTGCATTTGAAAGTAATGAAAAGTAGTAAAAAGGGGAGACAAATGGAAGGACTTTCGAATAATTTTTCGAGTAATTATAAGTATATCAGGCCGTCTTGTGGAAGATTTTTTGTTATCTGTGTTCTTCTATTTTCCTCCTAGTGAAAGTGCTTGGCTCTTCTCCGATGCTTTCTTGGGAAATTATGAAAAAATGGACGAATAACCTGACGAGGGGGGAAATTTTTTGAATAGGACTTTCGAACTGGTAAAACATTTGAATGCACTTCGACTACAAGACTTGCCGATACGTTTTAGCGCTATGAGCTTTCCAAACGTATTTCTAAAAATATAAATTTTTTAAAAACAATTAGATAGATCATTTTAAACATTTTTTTTAAATTTATAAAATACGCTCCATCACTCGCAATACACTTCTCTTAACGTGATGGCAACTACTGTGTACACGCTGAATATAATTTTGAGTCTTTATTATTAAAAAATTCTTTAAACGCATTTTTTAACGACTTTTGATCAATCAATTTTTTATGTTGTAAAACGTTGTTCAGGTGTTGAAAAAATGATGGGCGAAAGGACTGGTGAATAAGGAGGGTTAGGCAGAACCTCATGACCAAGATCCAACAGTTTTCGTGTAACTGAATCGGCCTTTTCCGATTGACGAAAGATGGCTTCAATAATGTCAATTTATGGTGCATTGCTTCAATTTGAGAGCAATACATTTCGGCATTGGTAGTTTAGCCAGGATTCAAGAAGCTGTAGTAAATCAGCCCGATTGAAGCCAACCAAAGAGTCACCATCATCTATTTTCGACGAGTTGTGGGCTTTGGAATGTGGTGCTGCTTTTCCTTTGTCGATTCTCGGTCAAACACGTTTGCCGTTATCATAGAGAATCAACTTTTCATCACATCATCAAAGAAGTGTGGCGCAAACTTCATAAGGATGATTTTCTGACGGTCGTTTAATGCATGAGGAACTCAACTTTCGAGCTTTTTCATCTTTCCAGTTGCCTTTTGGTGGTCAGCGACGGTCGATTTACCAACTGACA